TCGCTATTACTTCGTTCCATAAAAAAGTTCCTGTACCGTTCGGAATTCCTAACAGGACGCCCGAAAAAAATAACCAGACAAGTCAATCTACCACTTTCATAAACGACGAGCATGATTTTACTTTGCACTATCAATTTGCATAATGTTGCAATGAACGCGTCCAGGTTGCTCCACTACAATATATGCAACAAAAATATTTCTTCTTGGAAAGCCAGTTCTAATTTCCTTTTTGTTTGTGTGATCCGAGGTGGCTGTGACCGGCGCTTCGTTCAGATGACGCACTGAACTAGCCCGATCTCGGACCCTCATTTGAACGAATATTTATGATCACACTCCAGTAACTGCTTCAAAATAGGAAGTTATTAATCAAATCACTCCCGTTTTAACCTTACGATTTAGTACTTTCCTTCTTTTCGCTTTTTTTTTAGTGCAGTTGCATCGACATTCATTACAATAAATTATGAATGTTTTATAACTGGAATTATGTAAATGCGAAAACAAAACCAACGTCCAGTTGAAGTTCATTGCACAGACGCGCCGGAAGTCGTATAACCAATGATAAATTAAATAAGTTTAAAGGATAAAAATAAAACAAATTTTACTTTCGAAGAGAAATTGTTGAAGACGAGTATCATCAATATTAATTTTTGTGTGTTTTCTCTGGTTGTGTAATCTCGGCAAAAACGCGCAAAGTCGCGTTTTCGTCGTCGTATTGTCAAACTGTTTAATTAACAAAAAATTCTCACATCACCTTGACGAAACAAGTGTAAAGATTTATTGTTGTGATGGAGTGGCTCTGACGAAACGCCAATGCAATAGTTTTTAAAACCAAATTAAGAAAATAGGTTGCTTTTACAAGCCGAAAATAATTAACACCTACTAAAAATTTTCTACTTTCGGCAGGCGTCAAGTGAAAACACAGAACAAGTGGTTTAGACTGGCTGAGGTGCAATAAATTAATTTTGAAATTGAGTCGGAAACGTTCACCCATTAGCCACTCTGTCAACTTAATAAACTCGTCAGTGTTATTAATTTCGAACAAGCGGATCGGTTTTTTCTGGTGCCGGGATAGGTGTAAAGACGCAAAAATTGCATTTACTGTTAAACGAAAGTAAGCTAAAAAATCCATTAATATCTGTTGGCTGGCGAAAAAGCCAAGTCGGAATTTGGCACGAAATTACGAAGCTTGACAATTTCGCTGAGTATTAAACGCTCCAGTAAATACAAGACAAAGACAGCAGGGGCGGCTCATGACTTGAAAAATTGATGAGGCACAGCACAAAACGCTCTAAAATATAAATAAATCAAGTTTACTTAAATATTTTCTATTTAGTCAAATAAACAAATTTGTAAACTCATTTAACTGTCCACAAAGAACCAACGTGAAGGTGTAAGGAGGTCTTGCAAGGAAAGGATGAGAATGACAGGACAAAAGGAAAGGGAAGCGTGGTCAGAAAAAACTAATATAACTTCTAACAAAAAACAAAATTAAAATAAACTTTAAAGGAAACATATCGAAAAAGATCAAATACAACATAAAATAAAGCTAATTTGATTTATAACAAAAAACAAAATGAAAAAAATATAAAATATAAATACGGATTTATTTAAAAATTTTTTTTATGGATCAATTAACGATTTACTCAAATCAGGAACCGGCGGTTTTAATTCCTTAACTACATACAATTTATCATCATACGTGAAAGTAGAAAAAACAGAACTGCCATTGTCATTTAACGTTAGTAGAGAAAAATTCCGATTTACTCGTAATCTTAAATAACGATTACCGAAATCAAATTATGACAAGCACAAAGCACTAACGCGACCCACGCAAACGTAGGCACTTTTAAGACAAAATTCTGTTACCGAAATTTTGAATCAATTTATACACACACAGATTTGTGGCAAAACAATCAACGGCCTAATTTTGAATACTCCTGCGAATGCAGACTGCATTGCAATCGCACGTTCCCCGCGCGCAAATAATATAGTTGTCCATCTCTTTTGCAAGCACGGAAATGAGGCTAGCCTCAATTTTGTCTTTTTTCAACTCATACCGCTTATAAGTGTATTGCAGGTTGCTTGCCTATTAACAACATGATTTCTATATATGCTGTAGAGGCAAGCTTCGAGTCGGCCTCATTCGCGTCACAAAATACATGTTGTGCCGAGTGTTTAAGCGCGCTGTTTAATTAAGGGAGCAACGAGTACCTACCGAGATAAAAATAAGAATATAATTTTCTATATTTATTTTTAAAATTTTAGAAAAAAGACACAAATTATTGGCCGAAATGTGTCCGTATAAAATAATAAAAATCCTAATAAGGCGTAAAATTCATTGGTGAGGCACTGCCTCACCTGCCTCATAGGACAAGCCGCCCCTGAAAGACAGTCCTGGTAAAGCGAATTGTTTGAGAAAAACAGTGGCTAAGTAGGTTCGTACAATGGTATCTACAACCGCTAAAAAAATACGTTTCGAAAATAATAATAATGATCAGTTTCAATACTTACACAATTTAGGTTTCAACTGGATTGAATTCAATGTATCTTCCTAAGCAGGAAGACAACATTGAGCTCTATGGGGAAGAACCGGTCATAAAACAGTCGAAAATTGAAAATTCTAAAGTTTAAAAAACGAAAAACTGAAAATCGGGAAATCCAGAAGTCGAAAAATCGTAAGCTTATAAAATCGAAAAATTGAAAAATCAAAATCCTGAGAAATTGGAAAATTGAAGCATCAAAAACCTGAAAAATCGAAAAATTGAAAAAGTGAAAAATCGAAACTTTGGGAAGAAATGGGAACATAAAAAAAGATTCCTTCAGAAATCAGAAAACTGAAAATTTAGAAACGTCAAAATTTGAAAAATTCAGAAATTGAAAAATCGAAATATTTAGAAATCGTAAAATTGAAGAGGATAAAAATTGAGAAATTGTATAGCTGAAACATCGGAAAATTCAAAAATCGAAAAATAAAAAAATGGAGAAACCGAAAATTTGAAGAATGGAAAAATTGAAAATGCCCAAAATTGAAGTACTGAAAAATGAAACGTCTAAAGTAGAAAAATCGAAAAATCTAAAAGCCGAGTAATCTCAATAATGTATTTATAAACCACAAGTTCAGGATTATGCTATAGACAAAACTATTGATCCATTTATGGCTGATCAAATAAGAAAAGCCAGCAAGACTACTTTATAATTTTTTTTCATCCTCAACTCAAAAATTGGAAGTTTTATTATCTCAATTAAAAAAAGACACGTGCTGATGCTACTAGAGTTCTCTATACATATCGTGAAGGAATTTCTGCATTCGAGGTAATAAGGGAGACTGAAAGCCAAATGGAAATGTTAAACGTGTAGCTAAATAAATAGTAGAGAAAATAAAACCTTGAAAATGACTGTAATTATGTGTTTTTGAAACTGTATTTTAGTAAAATTCCATGACATACGTGAAAAACTTCAAAAATTGACTCATCCACTATTAATTAATGGTTTCTTCAGTTCAACAGAATCCTTCTTAAAATTATTTCGAGGTGAAAAAGAATTGAGATAGGGAGGATGGGCGGGCTTACATTTTGGCTTTTGATTTTAATATGTGTAGACTTCTTTTCACAACATGAAACTTAAAACGTGTTAAATTTCTTGTTATGAAAAGATGACTATGTATATTAAAAAAAAAAGGCCAAATATAAGCCCCGCCCACCCGCCCTAACTTAATTTTGATGATTCTTTTTTATTCGTTGTAAGCCGAGGGGCGGAGCTTAATTGCAAAATCCTCGCCTTTACCGTTTTATCTTTGAAAGAATTTAAAAATCCTGGCACCCTTCGGTGTTTAATTTTGCCTTTTTGTTTCTGGACTTCTTGTCACAACATGAAACTTAAAACATTTTTAAAATGGAAAATTTGTACAAGGAAATATAGATTTTGCAATTAGACTCCGCCCCATAATTGCAAAATCCGTATTTCCTTGCAAAACCCATTTTAACCATGTTTTAAATTTTTTGTTACGAAAAGATGGCTGTATATATATTAAGAAAAAAAGCAAACCATCTGCCCCGCCCACCCACCCTATCTCAATTCTGATGAATTTTTCATTCGTTGTCAGATCGTAATTGCAAAATCGATATTTTCCTAAACAAATTTGCCATTTTAAACGTGTTTTAAGTTTGTAAGAATAAAAAATCATCACAATTGAGACTTGGTGGGTGGGCGGGTTTTATATTTAGCCTTTTATTCTTAACGTACATAATATTCTTTGAACAACACGATACTCAAGAACATGTTCTTAATTTCTTGTAAAGAAATAAGTATTTTGCAGTTAAGCTCCGCCCCCACGGTTCACAGCGAATAAAAAAAATCATAACAATTGAGATAGGGCGGGTGGGCGGGCTTACATTTTCCCTTTTTGTTTTAATACGTGTAGACTTCTTTTCACAACATGAAACTTAAAACATGTTCAATTTCTTGCTACGAAAAGACGACTATGTAGATTAAGAAAAAAAATCCAAATATTAGCCCCGCCCACCCGCCCTATCTTAATTCTGTTGATTCTTTTTTATTCGTCGTAAGCCGAGGGGCGGAGCTTAATTGCAAAATCCTCGCCGTTGCAGCTTTATTTTTGAAAGAATTTAAAAATCTTGGCACCCTTCGGTATTAAACTTTTGTAAGAATTTAAGAATCGTAAAAATAATTTAAAAAACCTGACCAAACCTGTTCTGACCTGCCTGACTTAAACTGGCGATACCAGATTTGGACTTTACTTGACCTGACCTGAGATTTTGGGAATCCACAACCTTTATTTTAACCACATAAAAATAAATACGCTTACTTAAGTTTCATAATCAACATTTTTGAGAGTTTGTTTTTTTTGAATTAGAATCTTGGGAGGCTTTAGTATTTTTTTTTTTTTAATCAGAGCCAGTTTTCGAGTCCCTCTGTATGTTTTTATTTTAAGAATATGGAAAGATCATGGGGCTACGGTGACGAAGGATAATAACGGTGAATAGTTTTTTTATTTCATCCATAAAACCGTTTATTTAAGAAAAACAGTAACTATACAAATAACTACAATATTTAGTACAATAAATAATAAACCTATTTACAGCCAATAATCGATAAACTAGAAGCATTTGGTCCTGTTTTGTACATAATCTAAAATTACTAAGCAACCTCGTAAGAAACACAAAATCATAAAGACATCTGTTAAATAAATACCAACAATACTTAAGTACTTACAGTAATACAATATTTACATCGTCAGTCACAATTTATAAATATATACTTTTATCAAAGTCCAGCTATAAGATAAAAGTTTCTAAACCGTAAATCCGGGCACGCTGTGCTCCACCCTGTTATCCGGTGGTGGGTACTTACAACAATAACTCGTCAACACCCCCACGGAAGCCAGCACCAGCGACAAAACGGAAATCCCGCACACAGCCCCAGAAGTCATGTCCGCAAGCGGAGTACCTGGCTTGGGTTGCAGTACCAACAGTACCAACAACCCCGCGCACATCAAAAGACTAAAAACACTCAAAAGAATATACCCTAGAAAAAAACCGTTAGAAAAATCGACTTACAAAACCACCCCACCTACCTGATATGTAATTCCTGTTAGGCAACCAGTAGCAATTCCTCGTCCTGAACCCCAAAAGCCCCAAAACCAGACACGTAAACCCCGCTATGATCCCAAAATCCAGAAAATACAACCGCCCCATTATAGACACCATGTAAAAACACAACCCGGACGTGACCCCGCCGCACAACATCATCATCACCGCCGCCACCGCCAGCGTAACCTGAGTGGGTTTCTTGGGCCCTATGTTCATCCACGGCTCGCTTTTAGCGAAAGTGGTATCACTGTAGACGCTCTGAGTGGGGCTGGAGCACATGGGGGCCACGATCGCCGTGTGCCTCTTGTCCTGGTGCACCATCTGCTGCGCCCCCAGGGCGTAGTTGAGCTTCTGGCGGAACTTGGGAGCGGGCTTTGGCGGCGTCAAGAAGGGGTCTCGGTGAGGGGGCGACGGCAACCGTCTCTGGGCCTGCGGTGACCAAATTCGCCCGTTTTGGGGGAGTCGCGGCGACTTCTTCGGGGTGGAGAGGAGCTCGTGGAGTTTCTGGGTGGCGGCGGGGTTGGCGTGGCGCCGGGGGCTGGGGGGCTCGCTGTGAATGTACTCGTACCGGCTTCCTAACAATTAAGCGAGTTAGAGGATTTTGTTTATTGGGTGTGTATATTTACTAGTAACGGTTTTCTGCGGCGACGCCTCCTCGGGGATGTACTCGTACCGGTGCCGCCGCGGCCCCAGGTCCTCGTTGTTCGTCGTCTCCACCACGGCGTACCGGTGCACCTGGACCTTGGGCGGGTTCACGTACCGGCAGTTCTCCTGCATGGGAATGTACTCGTAGCGGGGTTTAGTTTTCGCCTCGATGCGCTCCTCGCCCGGTGAGGACACCACCAGGACCTTCTTCTCCTTGACGACGCCGCAGTCGTCCACCAGCATTTCTTCGTAGAACTCCTGCTCGTCGTAGCACTCTTCATGGTAGTGGCTCTGGGCCCCCACGGGGGACTGGCGCACGTTCTGGACGATCTGCGACAGCGGCTTGCCGTTGTAGAACTCGCTCTGCTGGCTGAAGGCGGGGTTCGAGTAGTAGTTCTTGTGGACGGTGCGAGTTGCCATTTTGGAGCCGAGTTTTAACCGTCATTTGTTGTCGTTTAGGGCACGGCCCGGTGACGACTGGTCGCCTGGTGGTTGTTAAAGAGCTGGCGGCGTAACGGCAGCATGGGGGACGCACTTATCAAACAGCTGCATATGTCTCGCGTCATGTGGGGTGAATTCCATGGGCGTGCACGTGCACAATTAAAGTTGGCGGGTCGGCAGTTTTGGCGCCACTATTTCGTCATACATTAAACGGACAATAATTGCGAGAAAAGTTATCAAACTTACTTCCTGACAACAACGAAACGTCGTGATACAGAAACCAGTGCCCCCCGCTGAGAAACCCTCGTTACGCCACTGGCGGCACGCTTCGCAACACAAAGTCATTTATTGGAAAGTTGCGACGCGTCCATTGTTGTAGTTTTTGAAGCACATCTGGTGTGTACCGAGAATACAACAAATTATTTAAACTGTGATAAGTCGGAGGAAGTATCTGCAGCCAATACGAAAAGCTCAGGCGGTATTCAAACAAGATTTCGTCCAGGCGCTATCTTCGCGCATTTTTCTGGTTCTTGGTTTCCTTTGTACCGGTCGTCGTGCATTGTTGGCGCTCTCGAATGTCAACAAATAACTGGTTGAGTGTATTCGGCTTAATTATACATGCTAGAGGAGCTCGACGTACCGTTGAGCGGATGTCTTGCATATTCTTGGGGGTCATTATGCATAATTTTTATCTTGGATGCAGGAAATTGGAGTAACGTACCTGAGGAGCGGCGGAGAGAAACGTCAGGATGGGTGTTTGTCGAAAAGATAACAAAGGCATTTCGGATAGATAGCGCAATGAATTTTTTATGCTTCAGTTATTTTTACTTTCAAATTTTTAAATTGTTGGTAAATTTTTGTTAAATGATCGTAGAAAAAGTGTGGATTTTTTTAAACGGGTGAACTAACGCCACAAGGGTCATTCATTCATTTTAATATAAAGAATAATTGGTGTCGGGTAGGGGATTATCCCCTGTTTTGGACGTAAATAGAGGTAATAGTATATGTCAAAGTACATACGTGATTCAGGAGTGAGTCACTTATTGCAAATAATGGTTATTGGTTAACAGCAAGGGTGATTTTTTACATCTCCCTAGGGGGACAATAGTGACAACATGAAGATATTAGCAGAGAACATAAATTTCGGTTGAGGACTCCTCGACTTATATTGGCAACAGTGTTTGTTTCTAACTAGGAATAAAATTAACTACGATAGAAAAAATGTCATAATATTTTTAACAACGGGTTCTACTTTCGACAAATTGACACTAGATTTACCAGAACATTACAATTCTTCAATTTTACGATTTTTAAATATTTCGATTTTTCAATTTTTTACTTTTATAAACTCTTTATTTGTCGATTTTTCAATTGATTGATTTTTCAGGTTTTTTGGTTTTTCAATTTTTCAATTTTTTCAGGTTTCGATTTTTCAACTTCACTTTTTTGATTTTCCGATTTCTCAATTTCTCAATTTTTCGATTCTTTAGATTCTCAGTTTTGGAATTTTTCAGTTTTTCGATTCGTCAGTTTTTGTTTCATTTTTCAGTTTTTCGATATTTCAGTTTGGGATTTTTCAATACTTCTGTTCTTCGACTTTTCCATTTTTGACTTCTGGATTTTTCGATGTGTCAACTTTTTACTTTTTCGATTTTTAAATTTTAGATTTCTCAATTTTTTGGTATTTTAATTTTTCAATATTTAAAATTTTAGATTTTTCGATTTCTCGATTTTTCATTTCAACTGTTCCATATTTCAATTTTTCAAATGTTTCGATTTCTTAATCTTTCGATTTTTCGACATCCCGGTTTTAGATTTTCTGTTTTTCAATTGTCGTTTTTTCAAATTTTCGATTTTTCATTTTTCAAATTTGACTTTCATACCTTCAAATTTTCGATTTTAAAATTAATCGATGGTTTGATTTTCCGATTTCTTGATTTTCGAGGGTTTCGATATTCCTGTTCTTCAATTCTTTAATTTTTCGATTTTTCATTTTTTAGTTTTTTAAGGTTTCAATTTTTCGACTTCACTTTTTGGATTTTTCGATTGCTCAATTTTTCGACCGTTCTCAGCTTTTGGATATGTCAGTTTTCGGATATTTCATGTTTTCCATTTTTCAGTTTTTCTTTCATTTTTCATTTTTGGATATCTCAGTTTTTCGATTTTTCAATTTTTCGATTTTTAAATTTTAGATTTTTTAATTTTTAAAATGATAGATTTTTCGATTTTTCAGTTCAGATATTTGAATTTTTTAAGTTTTCGAATTTTTCAAGTGTTTCGATTTCTTAATCTTTTGATTTTTCGACTTCCCGGTTTTAAATTTTCTGTTTTTCAATTGTCATTTTGTCAAATTTTCGATCTTTAATTTTTCAAATTTGAGTTTCATAAACTCTCAATTTTTCGATTTTTCAATTAATCGATGTTTTGATTTTCCCATTTCTTGACCTTCGAGTGTTTCGATTTTCCTGATCTTCAATTCTTTTTTTATTTTTCAGGTTTTTGATTTTTCAATTTTTCGATTTTTTAGATATTTCAGTTTTAGGATTTTTCAATATTTCAATTCTTCGGCTTTTCTATTTTTGACTTTTGGATTTTTTGATACATTTTTATTTTTTCAATTTTTCAATTTTTGGATTTTTAAGTTTTAGGTTTTTCAGTCTTTTGATATTTTAATTTTTCAATATTTCTTAATCTTTCGATTTTTCGACTTCCTGGTTTTAGATGTTCGGTTTTTCAATTTTTCGATTTGTTAATTTTCCATTCCTGATTTATCGAGATTTGATTGTTAAGGTTTTTGATTTATCAGTTTTTCAGTTTTTTATTTTGGCCTATTTCGGTTTCTCAGTTTTTCCAGTTTTCCATTTTTTCGTATTTTGATTTTTCCGGTTTTCCAATTTTTCAACTTTTAACTTTTTGTTTGTTGATTTCTCTATTTTTCGATTTTTCGACTTCATCACTTTTCGATTTTTCGTTCTTTTGATCTTTCAATCTCTCAATTTTTCAATTTTTCTAATTTTTAAGTTTTTTGCGTTTAGTTAAATTTCGAAAATCGTTGAAAATGGGTCGAAATGTGTTTCAGGAATTTTATTTTTGAAAAAATCGTCTAAAAATTCTCAAAAAATTTAGGGTTATAGATCTTGGCGTGCTAATTCCAAAAATATAGGGTGTTTAGGGTCACGCCGCAATCTTTTCGAAAAATTCGGTGTAAAATTCGAATTTTTTGAAATTTTAAAAAATTGCGATATTTCAATGGGCGAACAATTGTTAAATTCCCGAAATCTGTTTTTCAGACATCAATAAGTAAACCAGGTTTAGTAATTTATACGCAAAAATAAAAAATATTCTGATTTAAATTTATTATCGATTGGCTTGATTGGTTATGCAACTAGTAATACATATAATGTGTACATGTCGCGACTTATAATATTAATATTTTGTGCAGTTTGTGCATTTATTCCGTTTAATTTGTCCTACAATAATCATCACACTGGATAAAATAATTCAGTTTGACTTGTTCGTTGATTTCTGATGAGAATAATTTCTAATTTCACTTTGACATTTGAATTTTGCATGGGTAATGAAAAGACGCGATCGCCGAACTTCGACAGTACGACGGAACACTTCGCGACAATTCGGATCGGGCGCGAATTTCAAAATACGATTTTTAAAACCTTTTTACAGTGAATGAGCGCGATGCAACGATTTGAAAAAAATACTGGCCGATAGCCCTCTTCGACCTCCACAAAGGCATCACTCAATAATAGCTTTAAAGTGATCTGGGGAGATATTATAAAATAAAAACCAATTCCCATGTTAATTCCCTATATCCAGACTTGGATGCGGCACCCTGTATATATTTTTTCATGTTTTTTTTTTGTTAGTATTTGCTAAGATAAAACTGAATTTGGCAAATGACATATCCTCTAAGAAAAGTGAGGGCGGGTGGGCGGGCCTAGTACATGCTAAGATAAAAGTAACTTTGGCAAATGATATATATTCTAAGAAAATAGAGGGCGGGTGGGCGGATCTAGTATTTACTAAGGTAAGACTGCACAATAATAAGAGTAGTCACTGGAATGAAGAGCAGGCAGTGGGCGGGGCTACTACTTGCTTACAAGACTCTTAAGAAAAAAGCTATACTCAGCTCCGCCCACCTTTTCTTTTTTCTATTTCACTGACTTATTTTATTTACTGTACAGAGGGAATTGAATTCTATTTTGATAAGCGGTAGAATCTAAAATTTGAAACAAAATCAAAAGTGGCCCCTCCCACCCACCTCTATTCCGTTTTGATCATTCATTTTTATTGGTTCTGAAAAACAAATTTCACAAGTTTTTAATTTTTAATTATTCACTTTTCGATTTTTCAATTTTTGGCGTCTTCAATTTTTTAAAGCGCATTTTTTCAATTTTTCTCTTTTTTGTTAGTATTTGCTAAGATAAAACTGAATTCGGCAGATCACATATCTTCCAAGAAAAGTGAGGGCGGGTGGGCGGGCCTAGTACATGCTAAGATAAAACTGAATTTGGCAAATGACATATCCTCTAAGAAAATAGAGCGCGGGTGGGCGGGGCTAGTATTTACTAAGGTAAGACTGCACAATAATAAGAGTAGTCACTGGAATAAAAAGGGGGGCAGTGGGCGGGGCTACTACTTGTTTACAAGACTCTTAAGAAAAAAGCTATACTCAGCTCCGCCCCTTTTTTTTTCTATTTCACTACCTTATTTTATTTACTGTCAGAGGGAATTGAATTATATTTTGATAAGCGGTAGAATCTAAAATTTGAAACAAAATCAAAAGTGGCCCCTCCCACCCACCCCTATTCCGTTTTGATCATTCATTTTTATTGATTCCGAAAAACAAATTTCACAAGTTTTTAATTTTTAATTAATCACTTTTCGATTTTTCAATTTTTGGCGTTTTCAATTTTTTAAAGCGCATTTTTTCAATTTTTCTTTTTTTTTTTTGTTAGTATTTGCTAAGATAAAACTGAATTCGGCAAATCACATATCCTCCAAGAAAAGTGAGGGCGGGTGGGCGGGCCTAGTACATGCTAAGATAAAACTGAATTTGGCGAATGACATATCCTCTAATAAAACAGAGGGCGGGTGGGCGGGGCTAGTATTTACTAAGGTAAGACTGCACAATAATAAGAGTAGTCACTGGAATAAAAAGGGGGCAGTGGGCGGGGCTACTACTTGCTTACAAGACTCTTAAGAAAAAAGCTATACTCAGCTCCGCCCCTTTTTTTTCTATTTCACTGACTTATTTTATTTACTGTACAAAGGGAATTGAATTCTATTTTGACAAGCGGTATAATCTAAAATTTAAAACAAAGTCAAAAGTGCCAATTCACCCGCCCGCCCTCTGTTTTCTTAGAGGGTAGTCATTTGGCAAAATCAGTCCTATCTTAGCAAGTTTTAACCCCGCCCACCCGCCCTCTGTTTTCTTAGAAAGTATGTCATCTGCCAAAATTAGTCTTATCTTAGCAAGAACTAGCCCCGCCCACCCACCCTCTCTTTTCTTAGAAAGTATGTCATCTGCCAAAATCAGTCTTATCTTAGGAAATACTAGCCCCACCCACCCGCCCTCTATTTACTTACAAAGTATGTCATCTGTGAAAATCAGTCTTATCTCAGCAAGTATTATATACAGTTGCCGCCAAAAATTTCAGACGTCAATGTCATTCAGTCGTCAAATAGTGTAAAGCAACCTAAATCTAACCTAAATATTTGACAGTCATTTTTAACTTTTACATTTGACACTTACATGAAGTTTGACATTCCAGCTGTCCGAAATAAGGACAATAAAGCAATAGAGTACATTAAAATTTTTGACATGACAGAAAAGTGATGTTTGAAAATTTTTGTCGGAAACTGTATATATACAGGGTCATCAAAATTGATTGAGAGAGTTGGTAAACCTGAACTTGCATAATTTGGTTTGTTAAGTTGTATAAAAATATTAGCTGCTAGATTTGAAGTTTCAAGTTTCAAATGTCAAAACTCAGTGGCGTCTTTTTTCGATTTTTTTTTGGTAAAAAATATTAGTTGTCAGATTTGAAGTTTCGAATTTTACATTTGTTTCGGAGTGGTACTCAGACGAATTTGGGGCGTGGAATTATTCTTCAGAATCCACTTATGCTTATGAGTTCGACAATCAACCCCCCGTTCTCTTGTCACGGCACTGAATTCATTGCCACCTAACCTTAAACAAATCTGTCATAAGGTTGACAAACTTCACGGCAAAAACAGGGAGTACCAACTCTCTCAATCAATTTTGATGACTGTATATCAATAATTAAAGCAAATTTTTGTGTTGGCAATTCTAAATTATTGAAATGACCACACCTCACAAACACATGTTGATTAATTTTTAGGATTGAAATACGTTCAGTTGTGCTCCAGAGACCAGGTAAGCTGTGTAAATACCTTCAGACCACCAGAAAAAAAAAACGCTCAACAAAAAAATCTTTATTTGGACAATAATCACAAAGAATTTCAAAGTATACTTATCCCTCTTATTTACGTATTATCGCTTTTATCACTACTAAGACTCCTAAAATAAGAAACCTTACTACCAGACGCAATCTCTTTCTCCTTTTCCCTGTCGCCGTCTCCCTCGCTCGCCGCCTCCGTGACCAAAAACGGCCTGAAGCTGATCCCCATGGCCGCCGCATGCTCGGCCTCGTCCACCAGCGTCGTGGTAAACCTCTTCTTACCTACACCTACATCAGTCAAAGAAGTCTTCCTTAAACCTAAACCGGGAGACGGCATGGTGCTCCCGCAAGGCTGCGACAACTGCGTCACGAACTGAGGCCGCCCGCTCCTCTTTTCCAGACTGCTCTTCCGCCTACTCCCCCCACTCGAACTCGGGAAGTCTTGTTTCAGCGTATCGGGCTGCAGGTTCAAACTACGGCTAGTCAAGGGTATGCCTTCACTGGCTCTCCTGGGAGCCGAACCCGAGATGTCGAGGAAGCTGCTACTCGTGGGCGACTTCCCGTGGAAGCTCCTGGAAATTCGGGTCATCCGTGGGGGCTCTATGTAGTGTTCTTTGACCACGACGGTCCCGGGGTTGGGTTTGGGTTCGCCCGTTTTCTCGAAGGGTTGCTTCTTTTCGGACGAATCTGGAGTGAACGTCGCTTCTAGGAATTTTTCTTTGGTGGTGCACCACTTGTCGGAACCGAGAGCCACCAGGTTCTTACTCGTGCATGGCAAGTCTTTATCGTAGATGTTGGATTTCTTGGTGAAGTTCTTGAAGTCTCTGGTGCGGTCGAATTCGTTGTAGATTCTGCTGGAGGATGGCTGCATTCTGTCGATGTTTTCGATATGTTTGAGACTGATGTTGTCGGAGTTGGATGGGTGCAGGATGTTGGTGCATATGTTGATGTTGGTACTCATGGGTGAGATCACCTTGGGGGTTATGCTACCTTGGCACAGGAGATTGTTTTCGGTCATGCTTGTGATCATGTTGCATGGTAGAGACATGGGGCTTTCGATGCCGTGTTCGTCTCCGAGGAAGCACGAGTCGATGTCTTCGGTAACCGTGACGTCACACTCTGCAGTCGAGCCCGCGGTTGCATCGTTCGTGTTGAATTCGACTTCCGAGCCACCCGAGACTGGAGTGACGTCACCGCTGTCTCCTACAACACCACTGTACTAACACGGATTAGACAACCTTGACGTACCTTGAGGCCTGTGAATCTGGGAGTAGTACTCCGAGAACTCCATCGATCCTGAAATCTCCCGATCGAAATCGAGCAAGATCCCCACATTCCCCAAATCCTGATCCAACCCAGGAGCAGTTGGGAAGATTTTAGTAAAATTGTCCACATTTATCCTACACAAGAAAACCCATCAGTACCCAACCACACCTCAACCACACACAAGCAAATCAGTGCAGTGTGACGTCACGCAAACACAACAACCTAAGTGCCACATATAATACAGACCTGGCCGAAGAAAAAACATTCCCGACAAAAGAACCATGCACATACAATACAGACTGTATGAAAGAGAAAGGGTGAAATAAATAAAATCAAGAAGAATGATGACAGAAAGTGGCTATTTATTTAATTCGTTTAATTTTTGTAAGTACCCATCGGCGCTGATGATGCTCGACGACATCTCGCTGCTCTCCTTCGAGTTCTCGGAGACGCCGGGCGACGACGGGCCGCTGCTCGACACGAAACTCGGAGGGCCGCTCCACCCTACGCCTACAGACAAATCAGAAACAAGAACATCGACCGCGACGCGACTTACTGTTACTCGGCGACTGCAGCTTCAGCGGCTGGGACGCCGAACTCGTCACCATGGACTGGCCGCCGTTGGTGGGCGTCGGCAGCGGCGTCGAGGGGTACTTGGGCGGCGTGGACGACGGCGTCCGGAATAGCGGCGCGGCCGTCATCTGCTCCAAGAACGTGTCGATCTGCCTCAGCGAGAGAGCGTTGTGGAGGGTCTCCAGGGGGCGGATCGGGGGCACCCCGCCGAAACCTTCAATCGCTAAAAAAATTATTTTGCGTGTTGCCGATCGAACAGCGGTCTCCATCAATGGGGATAACGAAAAAATTTGGGGCGAAATTTAAAAAAGTCTGATAAATTGTTGGATTTATTAATGTCAAAATGATATGAATAATTTCAGAATATTAATGTTTAATGCAATAATAAGTAAGTGACTGAGAACTTGTTTGATCTGCAGACCAGAGCGCACTCAGGCCAATATCGACTCTAAGCGCTGATCTGATACTTATCCACTACGAAGAACTAATGTTCCCAACTGATAAAATTTACATTTCAAATTGTATTATCAAATGGTAAAACGCTCACCAAAATTTGTCACCAACAAGATTTTTGGGAAAAATCAACATTTTCCAATTTATAGTTACTGGAAGCATGTTAAATCGTCAGTCAAAATTTATCCGTTCGATAATTTTGTCGAATAAACGTTATTTAAATGTTAAAAAGTAGCATAGTTCTGAACTTGTGGTTTATAATTACGCTACTGAGATTTTTCGGCTTTCGAATTTGACGATTTTTTTTTAATTTTTCAGATTTTGATGTTTCTAAATTTTCAGTTTTCCGATTTCTGAACCAATCTTTTTTTTTATTTTCCCATTTCTCGACTTCCCAAAGCTTCAATTTTTTCAATTCTTCAATTTGTCAGGTTTTTATTTTTGAATTTTTCGATTTTTTTAAGCTTACAATTTTTCGACTTTGCTTTTTTAGTTTTTCGATTTCTTTTTTTATTTTTTTCAATTTTGGGATTTTTCAATATTTCGATTTTTGGACTTCTGGATTTTTTACTTTTTGAATTTTCAATTTTTCGTTAAATATTAATTTTTTTAATTTTTGAAATTCTAGGTTTTTCGATTTATCGAGTTTTCAATTCTTCTATATTTCAATTTTCCGAATTTTTGAATTTTCGATTTTTCCAATTTTTCATTTCTAAAATTTTTCAATTTTTCAATTTTTTGATTTCTCGGTTTATCGAATTTGGATCTTTCGATGTTTTGATTGTTCAGTTTCTCGATTTATCCATTTTTCAGTTTGTAACTTTCGGCTTTCGACTCCTCGATTTCTCGATTCTCTGATTTTTCGATTTCCCGGTTTTTCGATTTTTCAATTTTTCAATTAATTCTGGAGTTTTGATTTGTCGATTTTCCCATTTTTAAATTTTAGATTTTCGAATTTTTAAATTCTGGAGTTTCGATTTCCCGATTTATCGATAGGTATTTCAGTTTTTCGATTTTTAAATTTTAGATTTTCGAATTTTTATTTTTTGATTTTTCAATTATCCGATTTCTCAATTTTTCAATTTTTAAATTCTGGAGTTTCGATTTCCCGATTAATTTTTTGGTTTTTTCATGTTTGGATTTCTTGATTTTTCAATTTTCCGATATTTTAATTGGTCAATGTTTATTTCTATGTTTCAGTTTTTCAAATTTTGACGTTGGTAAATTTTCAGTTTTCCCATTTCTCAATTAATCTATTTTTGATTTTCCCATTTCTCGACTTCTCGAAGTTTCAATTTTTCAATTCTTCATTTCTTCGATTTTTCGACTTTGCTTTTTTTGGTTTTTCGATTTCTGAATTTTCCAGTTCTTAATTTCTCAATTTTTGGATATTTTTTTCAGTTTTGGGATTTTCCAATACTTGGATTCAACTTTTCGATTTTTCAGCTTCTGGATTTTTCGATTTTTTATTTTTTGTATTTTCAGTTTTTCATTTTTTAAACTTTGGATTTTTCAGTTTTTTTTTATTTTTAAAGTTTTGGATTTTTGAATTTTTCGGTTTTTTAGGTTTGCGATTTTTCGACTTTGCTTTTTTGACTTTTTGATTTCCCAACTTTTCAATTCTTTAATTTCTCAATTTTTTGATATTTCGTTCAATTTAGTGATTTTTCAGTTTTTCCATTCAATTTTTCGATATTTCAGTTTTAGGATTTTTAGTACTTCGACTTTTTGATTTGCCAACTTTGGGAATTTCGATTTTTTATTTTTTGGATTTTCAGTTTTTCATTTTTTAAACTTTAGATTTTTCAGTTTTTTTTATTTTGAAAGTGTTTCATTTTTCAATTTTTCGGCTTTTTAAGTTAGCGATTTTTCGACTTTGCTTTTTTGACTTTTTCATTTCCCAACTTTTCAATTCTTTAATTTCCCAATTTTTTGATATTTCGTTCAATTTTGTGATTTTTCAGTTTTTCCATTCAATTTTTCGATATTTCAGTTTTGGGATTAATATTTCGACTTTTTGATTTTTCAACTTCTGGATTTTTCGGTTTTTTATTTTTTGAATTTAGTTTTTCGTTTTTTAAACTTTAGATTTTTTAGTTTTTATCATTTTTAAAGTTTTTGATTTTTCAATTTTTCGGTTTTTTAAGTTTGCGATTTTTCGACTTTGCTTTTTTGACTTTTTGATTTCCCAATTTTTCAATTTTTCAATTTCCCAATTTTTGGATATTTCGTTCAATTTTGTGATTTTTCAGTTTTTCCATTCAATTTTTCAATTTTTCGATATTTCAGTTTTGGGATTTTTAATATTTCGACTTTTTGATTTTTCAACTTTTGGATTTTTCGATTTTTTATTTTTTGGATTTTCAGTTTTTCCTTATTTAAACTTAGATTTTTCAACATTTTTTTTTATTTTTAATGTTTTTGATTTTTCAATTTTTCGGTTTTTTAATTTTGCGATTTTTCGATTTTGCTTTTTTGACTTTTTGATTTCCCAATTTTTCGTTTCTTTAATTTCCCAATTTTTCAATATTTCGTTCAGTTTTGTGATTTTTCAGCTTTTCCATTTAATTTTCCAATTTTTCGATATTTCAGTTTTGAGATTTTTTGTATTTCGACTTTTTGATTTTTCAATTTCTGGATTTTTCGATTTTTTATTTTTTGGATTTTCAGTTTTTCCTTATTTAAACTTAGATTTTTCAAACATTTTTTTTATTTTTAATGTTTTGATTTTTCAATTTTTCGTTTTTTTAAGTCTGCGATTTTTCGACTTTGCTTTTTTGATTTTTTGATTTCCCAATTTTTCAATTCTTTGATTTCCCAATTTTTGAATATTATTTCGTTCAATTTTGTGATTTTTCAGTTTTTCCATTCAATTTTTCGATATTTCAGTTGTGGGATTTTTAGTATATCGACTTTTTGATTTTTCAACTTCTGGATTTTTCGATTTTTTATTTTTTGAATTTTCAGTTTTTCATTTTTTAAACTTTAGATTTTCCAAAGTTTTTTTAACTTTTAAAGTTTTCGATTTTTCAATTTTTCGCTTTTTTAAGTTTGCGATTTTTCGACTTTGCTTTTTTGACTTTTTGATTCCCCAATTTTTCAATTCTTTAATTTCCCAATTTTTGGATATTTCGTTCCAATTTTGTGATTTTTCAGTTCTAGGATTTTTTGTATTTCGACTTTTTGATCTTTCAACTTCTGGATTTTTCGATTTTTTATTATTTGGATTTTCAGTTTTTCGTTTTTTAAACTGTAGATTCTTCAAATTTTTGACAGTTTTATATTTCGATTTCTCAATTTTTCAACTTTTCGATATTTTAATTTTCAATTTTTAAAATCTAGGTTTTTCGACTTCTCGACTTTTTAGTTCTATATGTCAATGTTTCAATTTTCTGAATTTTTAAAATTCGATTTTTCAATTTCCCGATTCTCTAATTTTTCGATGTCTCAGTTTTTTAATTTTTCGATGTTTCAATTTTTGGATTTCTTGGTTTTTCGATTTTTACTTTGGGGCTTTTCAATTTTTCCTTTTTAAAATTTTAAATTTTCGAATTTTTTTTTTTGATGTTTGGATTTCTCGATTTTTCAATTTTGTGATATTTTAATTGTTCAATGTTTTAAATTTAACATTTTTCGATTTCTCGATTTTTTGAATTTTCAGTTGTTCAGTATTTCTATTTTTCAATTTTTCAAATTTTGAAATTGCTAAATTTTCAGTTTTCCGATTTCTCAGTTCTTTAATTCTTGGATTTTTCGATTTTTCGACTTTGCTTTTTTGGTTTTTCGATTTCCCAATTTTCCAATTTTTTAATTTCTCAATTTTTGGACATTTCTTTCAGTTTCGGGATTTTCCAGTATCCTGATTCTTCGACTTTTCGATTTTTCGACTTTCGGATTTTTCGATTTTTTTATTATTTTTTTTAACTTTAGATTTTTCAATTTTTCGACTGTTTTATACATATTTCTATTTCTCAAATTTTCAATTTTTCAATATTTTAATTATTCGGTTTTTAAAATTCTAGATTTTTCAATTTCTCGAGTTTTCAGTTCTTCTATGTATAATTTTATTTTTCAATTTTCCGAATTTCTAAATTTACGATTTTTCAATTTTTTGAGATCTCGATTCAGTTTTGGCCTACTTCGCTTTCTCAATTTTTCGATTTCTGACTTTAGAATCTTTCGATGTTTCGATTTGTCGGTTTTTTTAGATTAAACGATTTTTCATTTTCCAATTTTTTAAATTTTAGATTTTTCGATTTTTCAGTTCAATATTTTTTGATTTTCTCATGTTTCGACTTCCCAAAGTTTAGAAATTTCAGTTCTTCTCTTCAATTTTTCCAAGTTTTCGATTTCCCAATTTTTCAATTTTTCGATATTTCAGTTTTGGCATTTTCAGTATTATGACTTTTTGATTTTTCCATTTCTCGACTTTTTAATTTTTGGATTTTCAGTTTTTCCTTTTTTAAACTTTAAAATTTTTCGACTGCTTTATACTTTCCTAGTTTTACGAGCAAACAGTAGCCCCGCCCACCCACCCGTTCGTCATTCCAGCGACTACTCTTAATATTGTTCAGTTCTATCTTAGCAAGTTTTAACCCCGCCCGCCCGCCCTCTATTTTCTTAGAGGGCATATCATTTGCCACAATCAATCTTATCTTTGGCCAATGAAATACTCTCAAAAAAAGAGAGGGTGGGTGGGCGGGGCTAGTATCTGCTAAGATAAGACTGATTTTGGCTAATGAAATACCCTGATTCGTAAGTAATTTTTAATTTTCCATTTTCCGATTTTTCGAAGTTTCGATTTTTCAATTATCCGATTGTTCAATTTACAATAAAAAAAATAATTCTTAATTAAACAAAAAATAGTTGCATGTCAAAATCGAGTGAAACATGTGAGATGTAATTTTATGTTTTACGCAGAAATTCTAAACGCTTAGAGTCGACATTGGCTTGAGAGCGCTCCGGTCTGTGGATCAAACAAGTTCTCAGGCGACGATATTCTGAAGGGGTTGGGGAATTTTATGATAGCGTTTATCAATAATTAAAATACGTAAGAGAATAAAAAAAAAATCACAGGAAGACCGTGTAGCAGTTGTTGGTTAAATGAAAGAAAATCAACTTACCCGAGGCGCTGGCCGTGCTCGGGATCATGTCCCTCAGGTTGGGGGCGCTGCTGCTGCCCGAGATGACCGCCGTCGAGAAGAGCGAGTTGCCGCTCCCCGCCGCCAGCTTCTTGAAACCTAGAGGTCCTCCGCACCCGAACCCTAGCATCTTGTAATAGCTCATCTGTCCGGCAATACTGTGACGGTGGCGTCTGACTGTTGCGTTGTTGCACTCTGTATCGGACATGCACGGGTGGTTCACAGACACGCCGGGACTGGGGTGAGAGATTGAGCGAGAGGCGCGAGGGGGCGAAGAGAAGAAAGAGAGCAGGTTGGAGGGGGAGCGGGTGAAAGTGGTAGAGAACAGCGACAACGGGGGCGCGTGCTGGGGATGGAAACTGAACGGGATTCGGGACGACTCTCCCGGACTCAGGTTATTGCTCGAGTTCAGTGGCGTACCGTCGCGACTCAGACTCTCGTTGTACTTCTCCAAGAGGAACAGCTTCTCCCCGTCGAGGATGTTCGGGTCCGAGAACGACCGGTGGCGCTTGCTCCTCGCGCTCTCCTCCTCCTTGGCGTCGTTCTCCCAGTTCACCTCCAGCGAGACGTCGTCCACCTGGCTGTCGAGCGTGTTCTGCTTGCTCAGCTTGATGTCGGACAGCGGCAGCTCGTTCGTGCTCATCCTCGACGAGTTGAGGTACTCCTGCTCGGACGTGAACAGGGCGAGGTTGAGCTCGGTCAGCGGCAGCTCGTTGGTGGCGCTCTCGGGCCGCGACTTGGGGGTCTCCTCCGGCGACTTGAGCGTCACCGGGGAGTTCTGGTCGCTGCGGAAGTCGTAGTCGAACGAGCCGGAAATCGGACTGAGCTCGGGCCGGTCCGACCCGATGGGCTTGAACGAGTACGGACAAGAGTCTAGAGGCTCGCTAGGGTCGACGGTACGCACTGGGACCTCGATGGGTGGCGTTTTGGGTATGTTCGTGGGTGTTATTGACGTATCTGTGTCGTTATGGGGTGAGTCTGTGTTCGAATTAAAACGAAAGCAAATCATGGCGAGAGTTAGATGTGTTCGAGTCACCGTTAAAACAAACAAGGGAAGCGAAGCACGGGGTTTGGAAAAGAAAAAAGAATCGAGTCAGTAATTTGCTACCACCACTTGAATACAGTGACAGGGGGAGGGCCGAACCGCCGCCAGAATCAACAAAATCAAATTTTTTCGGACGTTATTCGTTTCTGGTGGCGGTTTGCCCCTCGCTAGACGCCCCCGGGGCCTGCGCACAGCCCACAACTCAAACCACAAAACGCACGCAAACAAACGAAAAAATAGTAAACGTTAAAAGAGGCATGCAGAAGCGAGAAAGATCGAAAGAAGCGAAGCGAGCATGAAATGAGACCTGGGGGGAGGATTTTGTTTCTATAACGATAAAATATCGGTACCGATAAAATATCGGTTACCGATAAAATATCGGTACCGATAAAATGTGGTCGTCTTTATCGCTTCGTATCGTATCGGTAGAAACAAAATCCCATCTCAGACACGATGCCTCAAGAGAAAGGAGGAACCGAAGAGGGAGCAGAATGCGCGGAAATGCATCAAACTCTATCCCGTTTCGTCGAAACGCTAAGAGAAAAATGTATTTCCGACGTAAAAATCGTGGGAAACACCAGTCGCACGGGTCTACCAGACAGATGAGTTCAGTATCACATCAACTTGACTTTGCTCATGCTAAGGCAAGCCGAGATTTCGACACGCCGGGCATAACGGTGAGGAAATCTCGGAAACATCCAGCAACAAGCAGAAAAATGTTCGGTACCAGTGCTGAAGATAACGAACCTTTCAAACATATCTAACTAAACCGACGGCAAAGAAATTTAGATATATTTAAACGGTCGCAAGATACGTGTCGTACGTAAAACGCAGTGCGTGCTTCTCCTACCGAACAAACTTCTACGCGTTCCAGTAACAGAAAAAGCAGAGATGTGGTGGAAGAGGACCCGGAAACAAAATCAAGTTGGATGTAATCGGCAATCAAACACGTGTGCGTTTTAACAAAATCCTGTAACGTCAAGGGGTTTACGCCGGATCGAACTAAACAAAAAACGATTGTCAATTTCTCTTTTCTGTGGACGTGGGGGTTGTCGGACAAAATGCGGCACAGTCAAGGGGAAAAGCTACTAGTCGTTCAGGTTTGCGTACCTTTGCTGTTAACAGCGTCCAGACTTTGATGCAGTTTCTCGGCTGCTCAAACAAATTAGTAGTAGGTTAGAACCGACGCATGCCACACACTCGGAGACAAACCGGGCTTAAATTCCAGTCCTTACTGGAACATAAGGCGCAATGTCGTCTACCACAACACAGACGGACGCTTACGTTCCAATAACGACCACATCCCCAAGCAGTCGCACGTCCTCGATACACCCAAAACCACCCAGCCCACCCTCGCCGGACTAACAAGGCGTACTTTAACCCGATTTGCACAAACTCGAAAGCAACAAAACTGGCTCGCCTCCGTCTCACCTTTCCCCTTCTGAGGACTCTTGTTCTCGTAGCTCTTGGACCTGGTTTCGGGCTCCGGACTTATGGCGCGGTTGGAGTAACTCCGGCTGCTCTGCTGCGCGAGTTCTTCGGTTAACCGCTGGGCGAGGTGCATGGCTTCGTGGCCGCTCACGGTGTGACTACTCCTGCCACAAATTAACGACTTTAGGTTGAAGGTGTCTCAAGGCCGCGTTTCGTTTACCCTATGGGGATGGGCTCGCTCGATTTTCCGTACTGTCGGTAGTACGTGTCGTCCGGCGAAGTCGTCGGCGATTGTTCCGCTGAACTGGCCGGCGTTTCCACGATTTCGGGCTTCTCTTCCTCGATCGGGCCCTCTTCTTCGATTCTTGTCGAACACTGGGGTTTGGGCTCGTCGGGGGTGGCGGTGGCCGAAGTCTCCGAACTCTGCAGAAGTTTTTAATGTTTTGTCAGTCTGTGGTTGGGTTAGTTACCGTGTTGTTTTTGCTGGCTGCGGATTCGTTCCGAGAGTGAGGTCGGAAGCCGGGTCCTGGTGGCAAATTTTTCTGGACGCAGCAATTCACTCCGGGGCTGAAGTGGAGTTCTACGTGGAATCTCTCTTCGCTGCAGGGGTCTTTGGTGGGGTCTTCGTACAACATTATCACAACCTGGGACATGTAGTTTAGTTCGGAGACCATGGATACGTATTCCATGGCTCGGCGCCACTGCTCGTCGCGTTTAATCTGGAAAAATTGGTCGGGAGTTGTTTAGGCTGAATTCGTTTCGAATTATAGCTAGACATCGAAATTTTTTAAAATAATTTGTAACTGAATTCTTAAAACAAAAAAAAAAAGAATATCACTAAACATTATTTCACGTTCTTTGAAAAAAAGGGACTTATTTTGTCAAAAATAAAACGCCAGAGACCCCCGAGATTCTTAAATTATTTCAAAAGTAGAACACCGAAGAGCCCCGAGATTTTTTTAATTAATTCAGAAATAAAACACCACAAGGCTCTGAAATTCTTAAATCTTTTCAAAAATGAAAGATCAGACTCTTGAGGTTCTTTAAATTTGCTTTAATAATGAAATACTAGGCGCCTCTGAGAATCTTTAAAATTGAAACATCAAAGATATCCGGAGATTTTTTTAATCAATTCAAAAATAAAACACCAGAGGCCCCTGAGATTCTTAAATTGTTTTAAAACTGAAACACCACATATATCTCGAGATTTTTTTAGTTATTTCAAAAATAAAACACCAGAGATCCCAAAAATTCTTAAATTATTTCAAAAATCAAACACCAAATGGCTTCCAGATTCTTAATTTCTTTCAAAAATAAAACATTCGAGGTTCCCGATATTCTTAAATTCTTTTCAACTTTAAACTCCAAAAATACCTTGAGATTTGTTTAATTCTTGCAAAAATAAAATAAGAAACGGCCCTGAAATTTTTAAATCCTTTCAAAAATAAGACATCAGAGGCTTTTGAAATTCTTAAATTTGCTTCAATAATAATTGAGAATCTTAAATTCTTTAAAACTGAAATATCAAAAATACGCGGAGATTGTTTTTTATTAATTCAAAAATAAAAGACCCGAGGCCCCTGAGAATCTTAAATTTATTTTAAAACTGAAACACTGCAGATACCCCGAGATTTTTTTTAAATTATTTCAAAAATAAAACACCAGAGGTTCCTGAGATTCTTAAAATTTTTTAAAAAACTGAAACACCAAAAAATACCACGAGATTCTTAAATATTTCAAAAATAAAACACCAAGGAACCCCCAGATTCCCAAACATCAGAGGCTCTTCATATTCTTTAAATTTGCTTCAAAAATAAAACACTATGAGCATCTGAGAATCTTAAATTATTTTAAAACTGAAACACCACAGATACCCCGAGATTATTTTAATTATATCAAAAATAAAACACTAGAAATCCCTGAGATTCTTAAATTAATTCAAAAATCAAACACCAAAGAGCCCCGAGATCCTTAAATCTTTTAAAATTGAAACACCAAGTATCCTCTAGATTTTTTAAATTAATTCAAAAATAAAACACCATTGGCCACTGGGATTCTTAAATTCTTTTTAAAATAAAACACCGGAGACCCCTGAGATTCCTAAATTAATTCAAAAATAAAACACCAAAGATCTCCGAGATCCTTAAATCTTTTCAAATTGAAACACCAAGGATACCCCGAGATTTTTTTAATTAATAAAAAAATAAAACACCATTGGCCACTGAAATTCTTAAATTCTTTTAAAACTGAAACACCAAAGATACCCCGAGATTCTTAAATTCTTTTAAAAATAAAACACCGGAGACCCCTGAGATTCTTAAGTTATTTAAAAAATAAAACACCAAAGAGCATCGAGATTCTTAAATCTTCTAAAACTGAGACACCAAGGATACCGCGAGATTTTTTTAATTAATTCAAAAATAAAACACTAGCGGCTCCTGAGATTCTTAAAATCTTTTAAAAAACTGAAACACCAAAAATACCCCCGGGACTCTTAAATGATTTAAAAAATAAAACACCAAGGAACCTCCAGATTCTTAAATCCTTTGAAACATCAGAGGCTCTTCATATTCTTTAAATTTGTTTCAAAAATAAAACATTATGAGCATCTGAGAATCTTAAATTATTTTAAAACTGAAACACCACAAATACCCCGAGATTATTTTAATTATATCAAAAATAAAACACCAGAGAATCCTGAGATTTTTAAATTATTTCAAAAATAAAATACCAAAGAGTACCGAGATTCTTAAATCTTTTAAAACTGAAACACCAAGGACCCCACGAGATTTTTTTAATTAATTCAAAAATAAAACACCATTGGTCCCAGAGATTCTTAAATTCTTTTAAACTGAAACACCCAAGATACCCCGAGATTCTTTTTTTTTTTTAATAAAACACCGGATACCCCTGAGATTCTTAAGTTATTTAAAAAATAAAACACCAAAAGAGCTCCGAGATTCTTAAATCTTTTAAAACTGAAACACCAAGGATATCCCCAAATTTTTTTAATTAATTAAAAAATAAAACACCATTGGCCACTGAGATTCTTAAATTCTTTTAAAAATAAAACGCCGGATACCCCTGAGATTCTTAAATCATTTCAAAAATAAAACACCAAAGAGCCCCGAGATCCTTAAATCTTTTAAAACTGAAACATCAAGGATACCCAGAGATTTTTTTAATTAATTCAAAAATAAAACACCATTGGCCACTGAGATTCTTACATTCTTTTTAAAATAAAATGCCGGAGACCCCTGAGATTCCTAAATTAATTCAAAAATAAAACACCAAAGAGCCCCGATATCCTTAAATCTTTTCAAATTGAAACACAAAGGATACCCCGAGATTTTTTTAATTAATAAAAAAATAAAACACCATTGGCCACTGAGATTCTTAAATTCTTTTAAAACTGAAACACCAAAGATACCCCGAGATTTTTAAATTCTTTTAAAAATAAAACACCGGAGACCCCTGAGATTCTTAAGTTATTTAAAAAATAAAACACCAAAGAGCCCCGAGATTCTTAAATCTTTTAACATTGAAACACCAAGGTTTCCCCGAGATTTTTTAAATTAATTCAAAAATAAAACACCAGAGGCCTCTGAGATTCTAAAATTCTTTTAAAACTGAAACACCAAAGATATCCCGAGATTCTTAAATTCTTTTAAAAATAAAACACCGGAGACCCTTGAGATTCTTAAGTTATTTCAAATATAAAACACCAAAGAGCCCCGAGATTCTTAAATCTTTTAAAACTGAAACACCAAGGATACCGCGAGATTTTTTTAATTAATTCAAAAATAAAACACCAGAGGCCTATAAGATTCTTAAAATCTTTTAAAACTGAAACACCAAAAATACGCCCAGATTTTTAAATTCTTTCAAAAATAAAACATCAGAGGCTCTCAACATTCGTTAAATTTGCTACAAAAATAAAACACTAGAAGCCTCTGAAAATTCAGTTTTTCCATTTCTCGTTTTTCTCTTGTTTAGATTTATTTTTCAATTTTTCGATTTTTTGATTTCTCAATTTTTCAATTTTTGGAATTTCCTCTATTTTGTTTACATTTTTCGGTTTTTAAATTTTTTGATTTTTCAGTTATTCTATTTCTCGATTTATCAAGATTTAGATGTTTTCGATTGCTCAATTTCTCGATTAATCGATTTTTTTTATTTTTTCTTCAATTTTTTGGTTTTCCCATTTCTCGATTTCTCCACTTTTCGATTTTTCAATTCTTAAATTTTTCGATTTTCCATTTTAGAATATTTCAATCCTACGACTTTTTTTATTTCAATTTCTTGATTTTTCAATTTCCCGACTTTTCAGTTTTTTGATTTCTTAATTTTTCTCCCATTTTACAATTATTCGATTTTCGATTTCTCATTCGTTTCCTGTTCCGATTGTTAAATTTTAGATTTTTCAATTTTTGGATTGTTTTATTTCTCAATTTTTCGATTTTTTTTCAAAGTTTGGAATTTTTTCCATTTTCAATTTCCCGATTTTTCAGTTTTTCGATTTTTTACTTTTCCTTCAATTTTTCAATTTTTCGATTTCACGTTTGTTTCCTGTTTCTATTGTTAAATTTTAGATTTTTTTATTTCTCAATTTTTCGATTATTTTCAATTTTTTGAATTTTTTCCATTTTAGATTTTTCGATTTTTCATTTACCTAATGTATTTCCCGACTTATTACGATTTCGAAGTTTCGATTTTTTAATTTTTCAATTTTTCGAGTTATCAGATTTTCGATTAATTGATTTTTTCATTTTCCAATTTCTCGATTTCTCCATTTTTCAGTTTTTCGATTTTCAGCTTTAGGATTTTTCAATTTTTTAGTTCCTCAGTTTTTCAATTTTTCCATTTCTCGTTTTTTCCTGTTTCTCTTTTTAAATTTTAGGTTTCTCTTCAATTTTTCGATTTTTCAATTTTTGGAATTTTCTGTATTTTATTTGGACCTTTTGGTATATAAATTTTTCAATTTTTCAGTTATTCTGTTTCTCCATTTATCAAGAGTTCGATGTTTTGACTTTTTCAATTTCTCAATTAATCGATTTTGTTACTTTTCAATTCGATTTTCAGTTTTCGCATTTTTCAATCCGACGGTTTTTCAACTTCGATGTTTCAGTTTTGTGATTTTTCAATTTTATCGATTCTTACCTGAGATTCTTAAATTATTTCAAAAATAAAACTCAAAAATAAAACACTAGGAGCCTCTGAGATTCTTAAATTATTTCAAAAATAAAAACATCAGAGATTCTTTAAATTTGTTTAAAAAATAAAACACTGAAGGGGCCCCTGAGATTTTTTAATTATTAAAAAAACAAACAAACCCTAGGGACCTCCTAGAATCTTAAATACCGTTAAAAATAAAACACTATGGGTTTTTTTTTTTTTTTGTTTAAACTGAAATCAAATGTGCCTTGAGACTTTACTATTTATTTCAAAAATAAGACACCACGGACCTTTGAGATTCTTAAAACACTTCAAAAAATAAAGCACCACAGGGGCCTGAAATTCTTAGATCCTTTCAAAAATAAAACATCAGAGGCTCTTGAAATTCTTAAAAACTGAAACACCAAAGATACCTCGAGTTTTTTTAATGAATTCAAAAATTAAATACCAGAGAGCTCAGAGGCCTCCTAGAATCTTAAATTCCTTTAAAAGTAAAACACCAAGGAAATGTGAGGTTCTTTACAATTTGTTAAAAAATAAAACACTATGGTTCCAGAAATCCCTGTTTTTTTTTTTATTAAAACAACAAATATCCCCCGAGATTTTATTAATTATTTCAAAAATAAGACACCACGCACCTCTGAGATTCTTAAAACACTTCAAAAAATAAACACCACGGGCCCCTGAGATTCTTCAATTCTTTAAAAAATAAAACTGAGATTTTTAAAAATTTGTTCAAAAATAAAACACCCTCCGAAGATTCTTGAATTTCTTTTTTTTTATTTAAATTTTAAAAATCCCCTGAGAATCTTTAGATTCTTTCAAAAATCAAACAGGACCTCTTTAAAAACAAATTACAAAGGGAACCGAAAATTCTTCCATATTCTTAAAACAGAAGGCAATAGGAGCCCCAAGATTCTTTCAAACTTTGTTAAAAACAAATCACCAGGAGTCCCCGGAATTGATCATTTTTTATTTATTTATTTATTTCTAAAACAAAAGACATCAAGACCCCAGAAGATTCTTTCACATTAAAAAAGACACTAGGGAGACTGAGCTCCCTTAATTTTTTTTCTAAAAACATACACCAGTGGCTCCAAAAAAAAAACCACTAAATTTCAAAAAGAAAACACTAGGGACTCCCAGGAGATTTACCAGCAAAATTTTAACATGACGTCATCAATTTTTTGGAGGAGACCAACACAAATTAAAAGTGGAATAATTTTACTTACATCTAGTAGTCCGCCGTGTCGCAGGACCGTAATTAACGAATGGACGTGGCTTTCACTGGTAAAATATAACCTAGTTCGGACGTGCCTACCCGGACTTGAAACCCCATGAGAGTACCGCGGATTGAGTCTATTAACACTCTCTTCCCCCAGCTCCTCTATATTTCGTTGAAGATCAGCCCTAATTTTTTTAAGAAGCGGCGTACAAATTCCCTGACCTATAGTTAGCTTCTCCTGGGCTGTCAATCCATATTCCTACATTAAAAAAAAAAATAATAAACAAAAAATAAACCAACATTTTTTTTTCAATAGCAACCTGTGGTATAACAATATCCGCCAAATACTTCGCATAAATGTACAACTCCTCAGCATGTTCGAACTGCAACGTGTGCTGATTATGCTGCAAATCATACTTGATGCAATCATAAATATCCGGGATTTTACTAATATCAAAAATCTTGTTCTTCGTGTAGAAATCCTTCTCGATTTTCCCCCACCGGCGCCCCATCAGCTCCCACGTCTCCCCATGGTACAAAATAGCATCTACAACACACCCATCAAACCTCATCTACACCTCCCCCACCTACCTTTCGTCTTCGGGTCCTCCTTCTTCACGTGGACGATCTCCATCAGCGACTTGATCAGCTCGTGCACGTGCTTGCAACACTTCACCGGGTTCTTGACGAAGTCCAGCGCGTCGGTGATGCTCGACGAGTTACAAGGGTTGATCTTGTCGCGGTCCTCCTGGCTAAAATCGCGGTCCAGCTGCATGAGTTCGTGGAGGCGCGCCTTACACCTGGGTTTGGCATAGCATTAAACGCACGATTCGGCCCGCCGGACTTACATGTTCTGGTACTTGCTGCTGTCGCAGTCGTTGTCGAGTAAGCCGTTGGTGTTGGCGCTCTTCACCATTTGGACTAAAATGGGGGTTAGTTCGCCCTCGAGGGCTAGTAAGCCTTTGGCGAAGGCGGCGGCGGTCATTTGGACGCGGCCTTCGTCGGAAGCGTAGATTTTCAGGTCGTGGCGGAAGGTGGAGTGTAGGCGGAGGAGGCCTAGGCCTTGGGCGCCCGCGTATTCACCTGGTTAAGATTTGGCGGGTTTTTGAAGTGTGTTTGGCGGGGTGGGGGACATTGTCATAACAAATGTGTTCGAGTGCGTTGTACGTTTTTTAGTTGAGATAGATGATCTTGAGTATCTTATGAGAATGGGCTAATAATGGGGGACTTGTATTCATGGGTTGGGTTGTTTGATTGAGTCGGCTAACTTCAAAAATTCGTTGGGCGAACTAGTTCCGTCTACTGTATTTTTTTTAATAGAATGAAAATTCGTATTTTGAAAAACTGAGAAATAGAAAATTTAAATCTGAAACCGCCATCACGATATGTGTAAAAATATACACGAAAAGTGAATTCAAAATTTCCAAAAATTTTCCAAAAAAGTGGTCAAATGTGGTTCAATCTACCAAAAATTGGTGCCAAATTGTGGATAATCTTCGCCTAATTACGAATCTGAAAGCGCCGTCACGATATCTGTTACTATAAACGCGAAAAGTGAATTCAAAATTTCCAAAAATTTTCCAAAAAAGTGGTCAAAAGTGGATCAATCTACCAAAAATTGGTGCCAAATTGTAGATAATCTTCCGCTAATTACGACTCTGAAACTGCCGTCACGATATCTATTATAATAAACACGAAAAGTGAATTCAAAATTTCCAAAAATTTTCCAAAAAAGTGGTCAAAAGTGGTTCAATCTACCAAAAATTGGTGCCAAATTGTAGATAATCTTCCGCTAATTACGAATCTGAAAGCGCCGTCACGATATCTGTTATTATAAACACGAAAAGTGAATTCAAAATTTCCAAAAATTTTCCAAAAAAGTGGTCAAAAGTGGTTCAATCTACCAAAAATTGGTGCCAAACTGTACATGATCTTCCGCTAGTTACGAATCTGAAAGCCCCGTCACGATATCTGTTATAATAAACGCGAAAAGTGAATTCAAAATTTCCAAAAATTTTCCAAAAAAGTGGTCAAAAGTGGTTCCATCTACCAAAAATTGGTGCCAAATTGTAGATAATCTTCCGCTAGTTACGAATTTGAAAGCGCCGTCACGTCAATATTTCCAAAAATTTTCCAAAAAAGTGGTCAAAAGTGGTTCAATTTACCAAAAATTGGTGCCAAATTGCAGATAATCTTCGCCTAATTACGAATCTGAAAGCACCGTCACGGTATCTGTTATAATAAACACGAAAAGTAAATTCAAAATTTCCAAAAATTTTCCAAAAAAGTGATCAAAAGTTGTTCAATCTACCAAAAATTGGTGCCAAATTGTAGATAATCGTCGGCTAATTACGAATCGAAACCGCCGTCACGATATCTGTTATAATATAAACGAAAAGTGAATTCAAAATTTCCAAAAATTTTCCAAAAAAGTGGTCAAAAGTGGTTCAATCTATCGAAAATTGGTGCCAAATTGTAGATAATCTTCCGCTAATTACGAATCTGAAAGCGCCGTCACGATATCTGTTAAAATAAACACGAAAAGTGAATTCAAAATTTCCAAAAATTTTCCAAAAAAGTGGTCAAAAGTGGTTCAATCTACCAAAAATTGGTGCCAAATTGTTGATAATCTCCGCTAATTACGAATCTGAAACCGCCGTCACGATATCTGTTATAATAAACACGAAAAGTGAATACAAAATTTCCAAAGATTTTCCAAAAAAGTAATCAAAAGCGGTTCAATCTACAAAAAATTGGTGCCAAATTGTAGATAATCTTCCGCTAATTACGAATCTGAAAGCGCCGGCACGATATCTGTTAAAATAAACACGAAAAATGAATTCAAAATTTCCAAAAATTTTCCAAAAAAATGGTTAAAATTGGTTCAATCTACCAAAAATTGGTGCCAAATTGTAGATAATCTTCGGCTAATTACGAATATGAAAGCGCCGTCACGATATCTGCTAAAATAAACGCGAAAAGTGAATTCAAAATTTCCAAAAATTTTCCAAAAAAGTGGTCAAAAGTGGTTCAATCCACCAAAAATTAGTGCCAAATTGTAGATCATTTTCCACTAATTACGACTCTGAAAGCGCCGTCACGATATCTGTTAAAATAAACACGAAAAGTGAATTCAAAATTTACAAAAATTTTCCAAAAAAGTGGTCAAAAGTGGTTCAATCTACCAAAAATTGGTGCCAAATTGTTGATAATCTCCGCTAATTACGAATCTGAAACCGCCGTCACGATATCTGTTATAATAAACACGAAAAGTGAATTCAAAATTTCCAAAATTTTTCCAAAAAAGTGCTCAAAAGTGGTGCAATCTACCAAAAATTGGTGCCAAATTGTAGATAATCTTCCGCGAATTACGAATCTGAAAGCGCCGTCACGATATCTGTTATAATAAACGCGAAAAGTGAATCCAAAATTTCCAAAAATTTAAAAAAAAAGTGGTCAAAAGTGGTTCAATCTACCAAAAATTGGTGCCAAATTGTAGATAATCTTCCGCTAATTACGAATCTGAAAGCGCCGTCACGATATCTGTTAAAATAAACACGAAAAGTGAATTCAAAATTTCCAAAAATTTTCCAAAAAAGTGGTCAAAAGTGGTTCAATCTACCAAAAATTTGTGCCAAATTGTTGATAATCTCCGCTAATTACGAATCTGAAACCGCCGTCACGATATCTGTTATAATAAACACGAAAAGTGCATACAAAATTTCCAAAGATTTTCCAAAAAAGTAATCAAAAGCGGTTCAATCTACAAAAAATTGGTGCCAAATTGTAGATAATCTTCCGCTAATTACGAATCTGAAAGCGCCGGCACGATATCTGTTAAAATAAACACGAAAAATGAATTCAAAATTTCCAAAAATTTTCCAAAAAAATGGTTAAAATTGGTTCAATCCACCAAAAATTGGTGCCAAATTGTAGATAATCTTCGGCTAATTACGAATATTAAAGCGCCGTCACGATATCTGCTAAAATAAACGCGAAAAGTGAATTCAAAATTTCCAAAAATTTTCCAAAAAAGTGGTCAAAAGTCGTTCCATCTACCAAAAATTGGTGCCAAATTGTAGATAATCTTCAGCGAATTACGATTTTGAAACCGCCGTCACGATATCTGTTATAATAAACACGAAAAGTAAATTCAAAATTCCCAAAAATTTTTCAAAAAAGTGGTCAAAAGTGGTTCAATCTACCAAAAATTGGTGCCTAATTGTAGATAATTTTCCGCTAATTACGAATCTGAAACCGCCGTCACGATATCTGTTAAAAGAAACACGAAAAGTGAATTCAATATTTCCAAAAATTTTCCAAAAAAGTGGTCAAAAGTGGTTCAATCTACCGAAAATTGCTGCCAAATTGTAGATAATCTTCCGCTAATTACGAATCTGAAACCGCCGTCACCATATCTGTTAAAATAAACACGAAACGTGAATTCAAAATTTCCAAAAATTTTCCAAAAAAGTGCTCAAAAGTGGTTCAATCTACCAAAAATTGGTGGCAAATTGTAGATAATCTTCCGCTAATTACGAATCTGAAAGCGCCGTCACGATATCTGTTAAAATAAACACGAAAAGTGAATTCAAAATGTCCAAAAATTTTCCAAAAAAGTGGTCAAAAGTGGTTCAATCTACCAAAAATTGGTGCCAAATTGTGGATAATCTTCCGCTAATTACGAATATGAAAGCGCCATCACGATATCTGTTATAATAAACACGAAAAGTGAAAATTTCCAAAAATTTTCCAAACATGTGGTCAAAAGTGGTGCAATCTACCAAAAATTGATGCCAAATTGTAGATAATCTTCCGCTAGTTACAAATCTGAAAGCGCCGTCACGATATCTGTTAAAATAAACACGAAAAGTGAATTCAAAATGTCCAAAAATTTTCCAAAAAAGTGGTCAAAAGTGGTTCAATCTACCAAAAATTGGTGCCAAATTGTGGATAATCTTCCGCTAATTACGAATATGAAAGCGCCATCACGATATCTGTTATAATAAACACGAAAAGTGAAAATTTCCAAAAATTTTCCAAACATGTGGTCAAAAGTGGTGCAATCTACCAAAAATTGATGCCAAATTGTAGATAATCTTCCGCCAGTTACGAATCTGAAAGTGCCGTCACGATATCTGTTAAAATAGACGCGAAAAGTGAACTCAAAATGTCCAAAAATTTTCCAAAAAAGTGGTCAAAAGTGGTTCAATCTACCAAAAATTGGTGCCGAATTGTAGATAATCTTCCGCTAATTACGAATCTGAAACCGCCGTCACGATATTTTTATTTCACAAAACTGTAAGATGACGTCATCAATTGCTTAGGGGACATGAACATGACATTTTTTTTGCATAAATTACCATTGCTAGTTACCCAACGAATTTCTGAGGTTAGTACAATCAATTTCAACAACGAAATTCCACAAGGGGCGCAGCTGACGCCATATCTTAGTAGGCCATGGCATTAAATTCCAATAGTGTGTTTTATCGTTGACGCTTAGCACGTCGCGCCAAGATGGCTTCCCAATTTAATTTTTTTCGTTTACGTTGGTATCACAAATGTGCTTACACACAAGTACCCCATCTCACTTAATGTAATTAATCAAGCAATCTATTACAGAACAAAACAAAATCACACGAACTTACCCTACTTAAAAAATTTAGAATCTGTGTACAACAATATTTCGAGACAGTACAGTACAGTACGGGACAAAAGTGCTGTGATCTCTACATTGAACTATACCTAACGACGAAAAACAAAAAGACCATTTCGCAAATAAACCTTAAACGAAATTTTAACCAATAATAAACGCAAATCAAGTGCTCAGTGCTAAAAACTAATTAGGTGTTAATAAGAAGCTGAATACGAACCGGCTAAATGTCTACCTTGTCCGCCAGGGTACATGCACCGGAAAATCCTCCCAAGCTCTTCTGCCTGGATTCTTCCGGCCGGAGTTAACTCGCCCCCCCACTTCAAAATCAAAACCAACGACGGCTCAGCTGGTTTATCTACTGACAATACAATCACAAGGTATTTCATCAGACTAAAAATAGACTTTAGTACCATCGTCGGAACTGGACCCTCTGGGACGCCCCTTGGGCTGGTACTTCATCTGCACCTTGCGGTTAATCCCGGAGAAGTGACCATACATCTCGAGCACACCCTTCAGCTGCTCCAGCTTCCCCTGTTTCTCTTCGATCTCCGGGTCGGCTTCGTGCTGCTGGATCTCGGCCAGGAGAGACCTCGCCGTGTCTAGAATCTCCTGGAGTTGCTTGGGTCGCTTCAGCTTAACGTGACCGTGCTTATACCCATCGTACTTTTCGAAAATTTCGAAAAACCTTCAACAATAACAAATTTTTCAAAAACTAATATCTCTAGAAGGAGCGAAAACTCACTTCGGGTGTCTCACTTCCACCTTCATCTTCTGCTTCGGCGTGCGGTCGCCGTGTCGTATCACCGCCACCACGCACCTCAACTCCATCATCTTCCCGAAGGTGGTGGGCACGATGGGCGGGTCGTCCAGCTGGAACGGCACCGACCAGGGGATGTGCAGCGTGGGGGCGAGCTCCCGCAGGATCATGTTCCCGAGGATTTTGGCACAGTCGTCGTAGTACTTGTTGGAGTTCTTAACGAAACTGAAGCCGTTGACATCGCAGACGAAGGATTTGCCGTTGGCTCTGGAAAGTCGTTGTATAGCACTTTGGACGAAAATTTTCAGGTTTACCTCAGGAGGTCGAAACCGCACACCGCTTGTTTGAAAGCCAGACAGACTTTCCTCGAGATGAGTTTTTCGGCGTTGCTGAGGATCACCGGGTAGCGGATTTCCTTGCCTTCGCGGTCGCGCTCCACTTTTCCGTCGAGGGCTGGGGATTTGCGGGCTTCGGCGTGGGCGTAGTCGGGGCCCACGGTGTATACCTTCACAGATTTAGGGAATGAATTTGGGGGTTTGGACACGGTGGGTTGGGAATTGAGTGTGAAAGTGGCTTTGAGTGTTTCACTCGAAGCGGTCTGAAAATAGCTCACTGAAAGTTCATCGGCGATAAAGGAGGCATGGGTTAGTCAGCGCTATGTGGAAGAGGTTGTTAAGTTTGAAAAACTCATAGCCAAACAAAAATTTGAAACATGTATTAGCCGTAAATCAGTGATGTGTGTTTAGGTTATTTAAATTTTATTGCGATTTTATTGTTTTACGATGTTATTACAATCAATTTATTGTTGTTCAATTTGTGTTTCCTCAATTTACTGTCTGACCTTGACTTCTATCCTCCAATACGAAAACAATGATAAATCGACATTCTTTATTGTTAAAAGTTTCAGCTGAGGAGTCATGTGATTAATTGGTTTATAGTTATTGAGACCGAACTTCCCTTGTTTCTGAAGTACACTCAAAGAAATTCAGTTTCATATATAATTTACAAAATTTGATTCTGCGCATTTTGTTTTTATGATCACTCCTAGAAGTAAATGGGTAAAAAACCGGTACAAAAATGTGACTAAAAATGGCGACAAAAACAGGTAACAAAAGGATAAAAATGTGAAAAGAGAAAAAAAAACAAAGAGTTAAAAAAAACGCAACCAACGTCCACAAAATATATACAAAAAACGGCTACAAAAAGAGGCAAAAATGCAAAAGTAGAAATTAAAAAAAAACAATTAAAAAATGTGAATTAATGTGACGGAATTAAAAAAGGTCACAAAAAAAGACAATGAAAAAAGGACAAAATGTCCATAAAAGGACAACAGAATTTTGTGAAAACAGGGGACAAAAAAACATAAAAAAATTACAAAAAATGCCAAGAAATCGTGAAAATAAAAAATCAATTAACCAAGAAATTGAGTAATCGAAAAATTTAAAACTTAGAAATACAAAACAAATTAAAAAATCGTAACACTAAAACATTGGAAAATTTAGAAATCCAAAAATGAAGAAATCGACAAATCGAAAATTTGAAAAATTGATGAATCGAAAAACTGAAAGTCGAAAAATCGAGAAATGGAAAAACCAAAAAATCAATTAATTGAGAAATTGAAAAATCGAAAATTTCAAATTTTGTAGCGTTAAAACTGAAAAATTATAATATCGAAAAATTAAAAAATCGTAAAAGTGAAAGATCGGAAAACTGAGAAATCTTGTACTGAAGAAATCGAAAAATCAAAAATTTGAAGATTATAAAAAAAGGTCCCGATGAAACAAGAAAAAAAAAACAATCAAAAAAGGACAAAACTCCATAAACGAGCCACAGAATTTTTGAAAACGGGGGACAAAAAATCCACAAAAAATTGCTTGAAAAATGAAGCACTCTAAAAATCGAAAAGTCGAAAAATTTTACAAATCGAATAAACGAGATGTCAAGAAATCGAAACACCATAAAATCGTAAAATCCAGAAATTTAAAAATAGAAATATCGAAGAACTGAAAAATCGATGAGAAATCGAAAATAAAAAATTTTAAAATCGCAAAAATTGAAAAATTCTAAAAATCGAGAAGTCGAAAAATCAAAAAGTCAAAAAATTGAGAAATCGAAGTAGGCTAAAATCGAAAAGTTAAAAATTGAAAACTCGAAGAAAAATTGAAGAATCGATAAAATTGAAAAATCCCAAAACTGAAACATCGACAAATTGAGAAACCGAAGAACTGGAAAATCGAACTAAAAAATTGAATCGAAGTGGGAAAATCAAAAAATCAATCAAGGAATTGGGAAATCGAAGAATTGAAATCTTGATAAATCGAAAAATACAATAAGTGAAAAATCAAAAAATTTAAAAATATAAAAATCCAAAATGGAGAAAATTCCAAAAATTGAAAAAATGCAAAATTTATCTAAAATTTACCAATCGAAACAAGAAAAGAACGAGAAATCGAAAAATCGAAAAATTGAAAAATTGAAGAAAAATTGAAAAATCGAAAAATTGAAAACTTAGAAACGTCAAAAATTGAAAAATTGAAGAGTCGAAAAATTGAAACATCTAAATCTTAATAAATCGAGAAATAGAATAAATGGTAAATCAAAAAATCTAAAATGGAGAAAATACCAAAAAGTGAAAACTCGGGAAATCAAAAAATCAAAAAAAAATTAAAAATCGAAAAATTAAAGAATCGAAATTTTCCAAAATTCCAAAACTGAAACATCGAAAAATTGAAAAATGGAAGAAAAATTGAAGAATCAATAAAACTGAAAAATCACAAAACTAAAACATTGGAAAATTGAGAAACCGAAAAACTGAAAAATCGGGAAATCCAAAATTTGAAAAATCAAACACTTGTAGAATTGAAAACCTGAACACTCTCAAAATTGAAAAGTCGAGAAATTGCGAAATGGAAAAATAAAAAAATCATTTAATCGTGAACGAGAAACCGAGAAATTGAAAACTTAGAAACGCAAAAAACCGAAAAATTGAAATAGTGAAGAGTCGAAGAACTGAAAAATCGTAAAACTGAAACATTGGAAAATTAAGAAATCGAAAAATGTAGAAATCGAGTACTTTGAAAATTTGAGAAATTGATGAATCGAAAAACTGAAAATCGAGAAATTGAAAAATCGAACAATTGAAGAATTGAAAAATCTCAAAACTAAAATATGGGAAAATTAAGAAACCGAAAAATTAAAAAATCGGGAAATCAAAAACTCGAGAAATCGAAGTGAAAAAATCGCAGGATTGAAAAATCCTAAAACTAAAAATCGAATTGAGAAATCAAAAAATCAACTAATCGAGAAATTGAGAAATAGAAGAATTAAAAACTTTGAAACGTCAAAAATTGAAAAATTGAAAAGTCAAAAAATTGAAACATCGAAATCTTAATAAAATAGAAGAAAAATTGAGAAGTCAAAAAATTAAAAAATTGGGAAATCGAAAAGTCGAGAAATCGAAATTGAAAAATCATGGGATTGAAAAATCCTAAAATTGTAAAATCAAAAAACTGAATAATCGAAACATTGAAAAACAATGAAAAAATGACAAAACTCCATAGCTGGGCGACAGAATTTTATGAAAACAGAGGATAAAAAAAATCCACAAAAAATTACTTGCAAAATCGAGCAATCTAAAAATTAAAAAGTCGAAAAATTTTAAAAATCAAATAACCAAGATGTCAAGAAATCGAAAAAGCATAAAATCGTAAAATCGAGAAATTTAAAAATAGAAATATCGAAGAACTTAAAAATCGATGAGAAATCGTAAATAAAAAATTTTAAAATCGCAAAAATTGAAAAATTCTAAAAGTGAAGATGAAAAATTGGGAAATCGGAAAATAGAAAAATCCAAACATCGAAAAATTGGAAAATCGAAAAGTTAAAAATCGAGGAAATCGAAACATCAAAAATTCGAAAAATCGGGAAATCGAAAAGTCGAGGAATTGTAGGATTGAAAAATCCTAAAACTGAAAAACGCATTGAAAAATCGAAAAATTGAATCGAAACATTGAAAAGTGGAGAAATCGAGAAATGAAAAAATCAAAAAATCAATTAATCGAGAAATTGGGGAATCGAAGAATTGAAAAGTCAAAATTTGAAAATTTGAAATATCGAAATCTTTATAAATAATACAATAAGTGAAAAATTTAAAAATTGAAAAATCCAAAAATTAAAAAATCTAAAATCTAACAATCGAAACAGGAAGAAACAAAAAATCAAAAAATCGAAAAATTGAAAAATGGAAGAAAAATTGAGAAATCGAAAAATAATAGTACTGAAAAATCCTAAAACTGAAAATCGAATTGAAAAACGGAATAATTGAAACATTGAAGTCAAAAATCAATTACTCGAGAAATTGAGAAATCAAAGAACTGAAAATTTAGAGACCACAAAAATTAAAAAATTGAAGAGTCAAAAAATTGAAACATCGAAATCTTGATAAATGGAGAAATAAAATAAGTGAAAAATTAACTTGAAAAATCAATAAAACAAAAAAATTAAAAACCGAATCGCCGAAAAATTGAAAAATCACAAAACTGGAACATCGAAAAACTGAAAAATCGGGAAATTGCAAAGTAGAGAAATTGAAATGGAGAAATCGCAGGATTGAAAAATCCTAAAACTGAAAATCGAAAAATCGAAAATTTGAAAAATCGAACACTCGTAGAATTGATTGAAAAGTCGAGAAATCGCGAAATGGGAAAATAAAAAAATCAATAGAAACGCAAAAAACTGAAAAATTGAAAAGTCAAAAAATTGAAACATCGAAATCTTAATAAAGCAAGAAATAGAATAAATGGAAAATCGAAAAACTTAAAAACCGAAAAATCTAAAATGGAGAAAATTCCAAAATTGAAAAAATTGATAATTCAAAAAATCCAAAAATTTAACAATCGAAACGAAAAAAACGAAAATTGAAAAAAGAAGAAAAAGTGAGACATCAAAAAACTAAAAAATCGGAAAATCGAAAAGTCGAGAAATCGAAATTGAAAAATCATGGGATTGAAAAATCCTAAAACTGAAAATCGAATTGAAAAATCGAAAAACTGAATAATCGAAACATTGAAAAGTGGAAAAATCGACAAATAGGAAAACCAAAAAATTAATTAATCGAGAACTTGAGCCATCGAAAAATTGAAAACTTGGAAACCTCAAAAATTGAAGTATCAAAAAATCCAAAAATTGAAAAACCTCAATTTAACAGTCGAAATAGGAAAAAAACGAGAAATCGAAAATCGAATAATTGAAAAATGGAAGAAAAAGTGAGAAATCGAAGTCGAAAAATCATAGGATTGAAAAATCCTAAAACTGAATAATAAAAAAAAAGCTCAAAATCTAAAAAATTGAAAAATCAAACAATGAGAAATAGAAAAAGTGAAAATTCGAAAAATTTTAAAACCGAACAATCCAAAATGGAGAAGATTCCAAAAATTCAAAAAAATCGAAAAATCGAAGCTGGAAAAAAACAAGATATCGAAAAATTGAAAAGTCGAGAAATCGCGAAATGGGAAAATAAAAAATCAATTTATCGAGAAATTCAGAAAAAAAAATGAAAATTTCGAAATGCCAAAAATTGAAAAATTTAAAAGTTGAAATATTCACGTCAAAAAATGGAAAAATCGTAAAACTAAAACATCGAAAAGTTGAGAAATCCAAAAATGAAGAAAATAAAACTGAAACATCGGCAAACTTAGAAATCCAGAACTGCAGAAATCGGGAAATCAGGAATTTGAAAAATCGGGAAATTGAAGAATCGAAAAATTTAAAAATCCCAAAACTGAAATATCGAAAAATGGAAGAAAAATTGAGAAATCGAAAAACTGAAAAATCGGGAAATCGGAAAAATCGAGAAATTGAAATCGAAAAATCCTAAAACTGAAATCGAAAAAATGAAAAATCGAATATTTGAAGAATTGAAAACTTGAACAAACTAAAAATTGAAAAGTAGAAAAATCGCGAAATGGGAAAATGAAAAAATCAATTAATCGAGAAATTTAAAAGTTGAAACATTGAAGAAGTCAAAAAATTGAAAAATCATAAAACTGCAACATCGAAAAACTAAGAAATCCAGAAATTGAAAAACTGGAAATTTGAAGAATCGAATCCCAACGCCGAAATATCGAAAAATTGAAAAATGGAAGAAAAATTGAGAAATCGAAAAACGGAAAAATCGGGAAATCGAAAAATCGTAGGATTAAAGAATCCTAAAACTGAAATAGAAAAATTGAAAAATCGAAAAACTGAAGAACTGAAACACAATCAAAACATTGGAAAGTCGAAAAATCGAGAAGTGGGAACATCAAAAAATCGATTAATCGAGAACGAACCCACAAAAATGGCCTCAAAAAAAAGCTAATCAAAAAATGATGTTTCAAAACAGAAAGTAAAAACAAAAAAATACAAACATTGACAAAATGTCCACAAAAAAACTACAAAAATTACTTGATCACAAAAAAATCATTAAAAAGGTGACAAGGAGGCCAAAACCTGATAAAAAATGCGACTAAAAAAAGGCCACAAAAAGCGACAAAAAGTTCAAAGAAAAAGCTACAAAAAAGGCGACGAAAACATGATAAAAAAAATAAAACTGGCAATTACAAATACTTGGTCGAAAGTTATTTCGACAGAACTTCCCTCGCCTCTGAATTACCCAAGTTTTTCGAAAACTTATGATATTTGATTTTACAAATTTTATTTCTTTTATGATAACCCTTTTAAATTTTTCCGATGACGTCACCAACTTTTTGGAAGGGGATAAACGAATAAATTTTGACTAATGATTTACAATGATTACGATTTTAGAGCATTCAGTTTTACAGTTTCAAAGTTAAATTGCAAATTGTGATTTTTTCCAAAAATAGAGATGTTTACGGTAAAAACTCAACACGGATTCATACACCACAAGGACAAAGGTATCTTATTTTACAAATTTCGGACAGACAGACAGACAAGCAAACGACAGACAGACAGACAGACAGACAGGTCATAAAAGTGGGGACAATTTGAAACTAATTCAAGCTAGACAAATGATAGTGAAACAAATGTTGAAAACATATAGATCGCATTCGCTTAGTATTACATTCTGGTCAAAAAATTATCACAGCAAAACCTGGACGTCACAATCAAAAAACCACCCAAAATCATGCACAAATTATCACTAGTCACTAGTTTTAACGTACGTATGTATCTCTCGCCAACAGTGCTCAGCACAACTTTAATAACACTCACTTTTACGTCAGTGCCGTCCGTCGGCATGAAGTCTTCATAAATAAAACTACCAGTCTTGCGTACCCTGGATTCTGGCGAATAAACGCTACTCCTGCTGCCGATCTGGGAATAATACAAACGCTTAAATTAATTAATAGTTATTTTGCGCACATCTGTTACACTTAATCTGGAAAAATACATAAAAAAAAGACACAACCACGCAACAAAACGTCCCCGAATACACAAAGACAGAGAAAGGATCGAACTAACATTACCCGCCACCCGGATATCTACCTTGCGAAACAGTCTCTGGCTGCCGCCGCCAGCAGACGTCGGATAATAAATGTAGATATTGTGGTCTTCCGCCGACACCGGTTTTTCCACAAAAGGCTTATTAAACACCACCCCGTTCACCTCCACGTGGTCCTCCGACTCCACCAGCTCGTGATCTACAACTACTACATCTAGAAAAGAGCCTTCACCTCCGCCAAACCGCTACGTTTCGGGTCCGAGCTGTCCCTGTCCAGGACGGCGTACCGCGGGATTTCGATCCCCTCGTTCTCCAAAGTGGCATAAACCTTCCTCCGGTCCTGGATATCGTACTGCATGTGCAGGTTATTTATCACGTAGGGGTTGTGCAGCTGGGCGTACTGAATCGCCTTCTCTAAAGGAAAACCTTTCGAATGGAATGATATCAGACAATCACACACGGGCCACTCTTCGACCGGCTTCTACAAAAGCAAATTAAATCAATTCTGAATGCCTGCATATACGTACATGTAAAATCACATCCTCTGGAAAGACCGTCACTTTAATGTACTCGAACTCCTGGAGGCGGGTCAGGATCTCCGTCATCGGCTTGCTCTGGGATTTTTTCGCCATGGCGCACACGCCCACGATGACGACTTTGCCCCCGTCCTCCATCTCTTGGGGGCTTAGCGAGGGGTCGGGGTCGCATAGCTCTAGGTCCCCCTAAAAACGACGATGATGTGATTTTTGACAAGGCGGGGTTTAGGGGCAAGCGCAGGGTTGTGATTATTCCGTGCCAGAACGACAACGTTTCGCCTAGTGATGTGCGCATATACAGGGTGTTTCACAAAGTTAGTGTCTAGGGTATTTTGGTAATTTTGTTACGTAAGAGAAAAAAATTATCTCAAGATTAACAACGTTAAGTAACTTCAGTCAGCTGATTAATTTTGAATATCTTTTAAGGTGACGATTAATATTATTACGCTTAAAATGAAGCTTAGCTTTCTATTTTGGGTTTACTAAGGCTTAGTAGATTAATTGTTATTGATTACATTTTAAATTATTGTTATATAAAAACGTTTCAATTGATATTCGGTTTATCAAAAAGTTGGAGACTACGATGTGCTGTAATATATTTATAATTTTATGAAAAATCTCAAGCAGCTTATCTCCATTAAATAATACACAGGTAATTCTAATTTCCGCATTCCATCAGAAATAAAACAAAAATCGAGAAATTGCGAAATAAAGAAAAAACTGAGAACTTGAAGAATCGGTAAAATCAAAAATTTTAAAAGTCAAAAATTAAAAAACCGAAAAATCTAACACCAAGAAGTCGAAAAATAGAGAAATTGAAACATCAAAAAATTGAAAATTGATAAATCTAAAATCTCAAATATATCAGAAAAAAAAATGGAAAAATCAAATATCTGAAAAATCGAAACATTGAAAAGCTGAATAATAGAATAATCGAAAGCATTGAAAAGTTGAAAAATAGACAAATGGGAATATCAAGAAAATTGCAAATTGGAAAAATCGGGAAAGTCGAAAAATCGATTAATCGAGAATTCGAAAAATCAACAAATGAAAAATTGAAGAATCCAGAAACTGAATAATCAAAAAATTAAAAAAAAAGAGAAATTGAAGAATTAAAAAATCCCAAAACTAAAATATTGAAAAATTGAGTAGTCAAAAAAATTTTAAATCGAGAAATCGAAAAATCGAAAGTCGAAAATTTAAAAATCCGAATTTCGAAGAACCGAAACATTGAGAAAAATCTAAGATTTAAAAGTCAAAAAATTAAAAAATCGAAAATTCCAAAAATTCCAAAAGTGACATACTTACCGAAAAATTGAGAAATCGAAAAATTAAAAAAAAAATCGAGAAATCGGAAAAACGAAAAATCGAAAAAATGGAAAAATTGAAAACTGAAAAATCGAAAAATAGAAAACATTGAAGAATTAAAAAAATTAAAAATTCTAATATTTAAAAACCCCAAAACTGAAATCTGGAAACATTGAATAGTCAAAAAAAAATTGGAAATCGAAAACTGGAAAAATCTAAGACTTAAAAGTCATAAAATTATAAAATCGATAATTCGAAACATCAAAAAATCGAAAAATTCCAAAAGTGACATACCGTAAAATTGAGAAATCAAAAATTAAAAAAAAAATCGAGAAATCGGAAAAACGAAAAATCGAAAATCTGAAATATCGAAAAAAAATGGAAAAATCAAATATTTGAAAAATCGAAAAATTGAAAAATTGAATAATCGAAAAATGGAAAACATTGAAAAATTGAGAAATTGGTAAATGGGAATATCGAAAAATCTAAATGTCGAAAACTCGATTAATCGGGAAATCGAGAGTTCGGAAGATCGACAAATGAAAAATCGAAGAAACCAAAAATTGAAGAATTATAAAATTTGAAAACTGAAAAACCCCAAAACTGAAATCTTGAAACACAGAGTAGCCAAAAAAAAAAAAATGGAAATCGAGAAATGGAAAAATGTAACACTTAAAAGTCACAAAATTAAAAAATCGATAATTCGAAACATCAAAAAATCGAAAATCAAAAAAAAATGGAAAAATCAAATATGTATTTGAAAAATCGAAAACTGAATAATCGAAAACATCGAAAAATTGAGAGATCGAGAATTGGGAATATCGAAAAATCGAAAAGTGGAAAAATCGGGAATTCAAAAAGTGAAAATGAAAGATCAAGAAACCGAAACATCAAAAAATAGAAAAACTAACGAACTGAAAAATCGAGAAATTGAAACATCAAAAAATCGAAAAATTGAAAAATCGAAAAATCTAGAACCGTGACGTCGAAAAAATGAAAGATCAAGAAATCGAAACATCAAAAAATTGAAAAACTGAAAAATTGAAAACCAGAAAAATTGAAGAACTGAAACATCGAGAATAGAAAAATTTAAGATTTAAAAGTCAAAAAATTAAAAAATCGAAAAATCTTAAATTTAAAAAGTGGAAGAATTAAAATATCCAAAAATTTAAAAATACAGAAACTCAAGGTTACCCAAAACTGAAATATGTATTGAGGAATCGAAATCTTGAAAAATCGAGAAATCAAAACACCAAAAATTCGAAAAATTGAAAAGTCGATAAAATCAAAATTTTTAAAAGTCGAAAATGGAAACACCAAAAATTGTAAAACTGAGAAAACCGAAAAACCCAAAGATGGAGAAATCGAAACATCAAAAAATTTGAAAAATTGAAAATGGAAAAATCTAAAATTTCAAAAATCAAAAAATTGAAAAATCGAGAAATCGCAAGCAAAACTGAAAAATCGAGAAATCGAAAAATCGAAAAATAGCAAGTCGAAAACAAAAATTCGAAAAATTGAAAACCAGAAAAATCGAAGAACTGAAACATCGAAAAATCTGAGTTAACGACAACAATTGAAAAATGGAGGAATTGAAAATTTAAAAATTCGAAAAATTGAAAACCAGAAAAATCGAAGAATTAAAAAAACGGAAAAACCAAACATCGGGAAACTGAAGAATCAAAAAATTAAAAAATTGAGAAATCGGAAAGGACGACAAATAGAAAAGTCAAAATATCGACAATTTAAAAATCAAAAACCTGAAAAATCGAAATATCGAAAAATCTAAAGTCGAAAATTTAAAAGTTCGTAAAACTGAAAAGCAGAAACATCAAAAAATCGAAAAATCGAAAAATTCCAAAACCCACATACCGAAAAAAACTGAAAACTTTAAAATCGAAAAATGTAAAATTTTAAAAATCAAATTGAAAAATCGAGAAATTGAAAATTTAAAAATTCGAAAAATTGAAATCCAAAAAAATCGAATAACTGAAACATCGAGAAATCAAAAAATATAGGAATTAAAAATGGAAAAACCAAACATATATAAACTGAAAAATCATCAAATTAAAAAAATTGAGAAATCAGACATACAAAAATCGGAAAGACGAAAAATCGAAAAAACCCAAAACTGAAGTATCGAAAAATTGTGAAATCCAGAAATTGTGGAATACCCAAAACTGAAATATTGAAAAATTGAGAAATCGAAATCTTGAAAAATCCAGAAATCGAAACACAAAAAATCGAAAAATTAAAAAATAGATAAAATCAAACATTTTAAAAGTCGAAAAATTGAAAATCCGAAAGACCTAAAACCGGGAAGTGGAAAATACGAAAGATCGAGAAATCAAAACATCAAAAAATTGAAAAATCTAAAATTAAAAAATTCGAAATATTGAAAAATTGAAAAATCGAGAAATTGAAACATCAAAAAATCGAAGAATTGAAAAATTTTAAATCGAAAAAACTAAAACTACAAAAATCAAAAAATTTAAAAATTCGAAAATTAGAAAACCCGAAAAATCGAAGAACTGAAACATCGGGAATTCGAAAAATTTAAGATTTAAATAATCGAAAAATCGAAAACAGAAAAGTTGAGAAATCGAAGTCAACAAATTGAAAAATCGAAATATTTAAAACCGAAAAGTCAAAAAAACGAAAGATCGAGTACTCGAAACTTCAAAGAATCGAAAAATCTAAAATCAAAAATTCGAAAAATTGAAAAATACGAAAATCAATGAACTCAAAAATCAAGAAATCGAACAATATAAATAAAATATTGAAAAATTGAAGAATCAAAAAATTGAAAAATCGAGAATTTGAAACAGCAAAAAATCGAAAAATTTCAAAAATCAAAAAGTTGATCGAGAAATTGAAAATTTAAAAATTCTGAAGATAGAAAACCAGAAAAATCGAAGAACGAAACATCGGGAAAATTTGAAACATCAAAAATACCAAAAATCGAAAAATTCCAAAACTGACATACTGAAAAATTGAGAAATCTAGAAATTTAAAAAAATAAATAGAGAAATTGGAAAAGACGAAAAACGAAAATTTGAGATATTAAAAAAAAAACTGGACAAATCAAATACCATCTGAAAAACCGAAAATTTGAATATAATCGAAAAGTCGAAAAATCGAAAAATCGAGGAATCAAAAAGTCGAAAAATTGAAAAATCGAAAAATCCAAACCTGATAAGTCGAAGAAACGAAACATCGAGTAATCGAAACCTCAAAAAATTGAAAAATCGAAAATTAAAAGAATTAAAAAAATTAAAAAATAGGAAAATCAAGGAACTGAAAAATCGAGAAATCGAAAAATATAAAATTTAAAATATCGAAAAACTGAAAAATGGAAAAATTGAAAAATCGAGAAATTAAAACATCAAAAAAACGAAAAATTGAAACATTAAAAAATCGAAAAACTGAAAAATTTTAAAACGAAAAATTGAAAACTCGAAAAATCGAAGAAGTGAAACATCGGGAAATCGAAAAATCTAAGATTTAAAAGTGAAAAAATTAAAAAATCAAGAATTCGAAACATCAAAAAAAACAAAAATCGAAAAATTCCAAAACTGACATACTTCCTGAAAAATTGAGAAATCGAAAAAAAAAAGAGAAATCGGAAGACGAAAAATCGAAAATTTAAAATATCAAAAAAATGGAAAGATCAAGTACATTTTTGATAAATCAAAAACTTGAATTGGTATACGAAAAGTCGAAAAATCGAAAAATCAAAAAATCGAAGAATCAAAAAGTCGAAAAATTGAAAAATCGAAAGATCCAAAACCGAGAAGTCGAAAAAACGAAAATTCGAATAATCGAAATCTCAAAAAATTGAAAAATAGGAAGAACTGAAACGAATTGAAAAATCAAGAAATCGGAAAATATAAAATTTAAAATATCGAAAAACTGAAGAATCGAATAATTGAAAAATCGAGAAATTGAAACATCAAAAAATCGCAAAAATTAAAAATTTAAAACCGAAAAATAAAAACCAGAAAAATCGAAGATCTGAAACATCAATCAATCAATACTTTATTGGTGTTAAAAACTTACAAATCCAATTTTACACAAATCAGATAGAACAAACTAAATCTCAATAATCTATTAAAATTCTATACCGAAAATAATCCTCATAATAAGAAAAATTTTTAGTTTTTTTTTTCAATATATTAAAAAAATTTATTACAAAACTCTTCGGATAGATAACACATTAAAAAAAAAAAGAAAACATTGGGAAAATATAAGATTTAAAAATTGGAAAAAACCAAACATCAGGAAACTGAAGAGTCAAAAAATTAAAAAATTGAGAAATCGAACATCAAAAAATCGACCATTGAAAAGATCAACAACCTGAAAAATCAAAAAAAAAAAGAAAACATTGGGAAAATATAAGATTTAAAAATTGGAAAAAACCAAACATCAGGAAACTGAAGAGTCAAAAAATTAAAAAATTGAGAAATCGAACATCAAAAAATCAACCATTGAAAAGATCAACAACCTGAAAAATCAAAAAATGGACCAATTGAAAAATTCCAAGACTGAAATATTGAAAAATTGCAATACTCCCTTAGTTTACGCTCGGTATGATTTCAATATCAATCAATCAATCAATCAATCAAATAAAATATTCATATACACCGTGTTTATAAAAATTATATACATCAGGACTTTTAGATATCGATATTTCAGATTTTTCAAACAGAAGACCCTGTATTTACCTACACCTACACTTACTATAAAAAAGAAAAAGAACAAAAAATAGAATACGATGCAGTAATAAAACACATGGTGTTCTACTTGAAAAAACTGAAAAATCGATATTTAAAAATTGTTATAATTTAATTTTTTTATAAACATTTTGAACATTAAAACTAAATTTTATTTACAATTCTATTGCGATGTGTAAGTACATACGTAGCAATTTATCAGTTTACCTGAATTATGGGTTGCCTATATATAAAAAAAAACACCATGAGAAAGTTTAAGATTCAAAGTCAACTTGATGTACAACCTCATATAAAATCAAATTATAAAAAATAAAAACTTTGCTTACAATAAAATTGAAGTATATGCATTTTTGTACTCCTAGGACTTGAAGTGTCACACAATTCAAAATTAATTTTTTCTCGATCCCTAGTGCGATTATTCTTATCTAAAACCTCAGGGATTAATTAATCCATTTTAGTCCCTTGTTGTGTAATATACTATTTTTAACACAATTTTAACGTTCAGTCACTCTTGAAAAAAGTTGTATTTTGGTAAACCATCAGTGCCACCAAAATATTGCTTATTTTTGAAAAAGTATCGCACAATTTTCATTTTAGACTGTCAGTGCTTGCAGGAGTTAACAGATGGCGCTTTATTAAGTTAGTCTCAAAGAACTAGCCAGGATGTGAATTAAAATCTCTGTATCTATACAATCTATAGTATTCCTGCACCAGACTTGGTCTCATGTGAAAATGGTGCCCAAACGGCGCAAAAGTGACTTTATTTGACAGAACGGCCGAAGGGACCCCATTTTTCCAAATCTGGAGAAAAATTTAGAGTCCAGTTCTGTCAATAGTGTCAATTTTGGTTTGGTTTGCACTTGACATTAAATTAGTGACAAAAATCCGACGTTCGAATTTTCCGAGTTGTCGCTTCGGCACAGAATAACCTAAAAATTTAATTACGTTTTCGGCGTCTTGCAAGCACTCATCGCAAAAACAAACACTGTCGTTTTCACTGGTTTTATTTTTTCTCCACCGCTTTAAACGCCACCAGTCTTTTAACCAAGTCCACTCCATTTTTTTACTCATCACAATTTAACAAAACATTAGAAACTACACTACAAATAAAAAAATCACACAGGTCAAATTCGCTAACAGTGTTAACTAGATGACTACGGAGTATCGAGTGTGAACTAGAGGATGCTGCAATGTATTTAGCACTACGTTCAAGGTTACATCAACCAATAAATTAATGAAACTGTTTTGCAACAAATATTTATCTACCTTCACGATAACACCTCCACATGCACACAATCGCGCTAATCACGATAAGCCAATGGAAACTAAAAAACTGTTGACCTTTTTTTAGGACCGATTAACCGCCCATTATTTGATAAGGCGACTTTTTAATCCGTCTTCGAGCTCCAAAAACGCCGCTACCGATCATTTAGTAAATATTTACGTTGTGCTCATGCCATGTGTTTAATAAAAGCGCCAGCACTACGACAAACACAAGCAGCGCATGCAAATAATACCCAAAATGAAGACGAAAGCAGGGGACTGTCGACGTCTTCGACAAGCACCGAAGGGACAACCTGTTCCCGGAACGCCTGTATCTGATCAGAATTCATGGAAACCAAAGAAACGACTAAATGGAAAGACGTGCGTTTAGACGAAATCCTAGCAATGCGAACGCATAAACAGCGAAAATAACTCACCGCACCGATGTAAAACTGAGTAGGCCTCGTCGCTTTACGAAGACCTTGATAACCGTGCTCCAGTTCTGTGTAAGACATGGCTTTTGCGACACATTCCTGCGGGATTTGCCTGAAACGGGACGTGCAAAGGCCGGTTTAATGGATCAGAAGCCGACGTGGAGGCTCACCTATGTTGCGAAATACATTGGGCAGGTCAGGATATATTGATTGGCCCAGTTTGGTTTTTATGGCGCTTTTGCGATTTAAATCATCGAGGGTTACGCAAATGATCCCAAAATAAACATTTTTAAGGTGAAACGAGTCACCGGCACGGAACCATTCACGAAATGCGATTTTGGATTATTTTTAAACAGATTGCGTTTGACAGGTCATTGACAGGAATGACAAGTGACGTACCGACGCGTTTACAGCAATAAACAATAAATCTCGGACAAGGAATTGGGTTTTTCACACGCAAAACAGTGATTTTTAACATTATCTTCCTTTTTTCTTATCAGAGAAGCTAATTCTAGGTATATGATATGATGGAAAGATTCATTGGTTATTTTACGACCAGTGGCGTAACAAGTGTCAAAATTAAATTTTCCCATTTATCAATTTCAATTTTTCATTTGATCAGCTTTTCGATTTTACGGTCTTAATAATAATAATAATGCGTTAGCCACGGCTGAACCATTTTACAAAATAGTTGAAGTCACGTCAGGTCACGTCACGTGAGGTTAGGTCAGGTCAGGTCAATCTTGCAATTTTTCAGGTTTTACATAATTAAAATTTTCGTTTTTCAATTGTTCGTGTTTTCTACACAACAAAAATTACCAGTTGAAATTTTTTAAAATTCCGAACAAGGAGATTCTTGATTATTTTCCTAGATAGACATCATAACACGCGTTTCTTAGAAAAATTGAAAAATCAAAAAATTGAAAAAATAGAAAAATTGTGAAATCGAAAAATTGAAGTACCTATCGAAAATTTAAGTATTTGAAAACTGAATATTTGAAATACTGTGAAATCTAAAAATTCAAGAAACGAAAAATTGAAACACCTAAAAATTTAAAAAAATTAAAATTCGAAAAACTGAAACGTCGAAAAAATGGAAAAAAACTGAAAATTCGAATAATATAATTGTCCAAAAATTGAGAAATTGAAGAAATGGGAATTTTTTTTGGACTTTGAGATTTTTGACTTTGAAAATTTTCAGTTTGTCAGTTTCAATTTTTGATTCTTCGGTTTTTCGATTTTAAAATTTTGCGATTTTTCAGATTTTACATAGCTAAATTTTTTTAATTCGAACCTCTACGACAAGAGACTGAACAGAAATAAAATCCTTGGAATAAAAACAGGGTGGGTGGGCGGGGCTAGTACCTGCTAAAATAAGACTGATTTTGGCAAATAATATACCTTCTAAGAAAATGGAGGGCGGGTGGGCGGGGCTAGTACTTGCTAAGATAAGACTAATTTTGGCAAATGACACATTCTGTATTCCTAACACATTTCACTTATAGAATTCACCATTTTTAAATTATTTTAAATTATGTAGTTATACAGGTCTTAGAAAAATTGAAAAATCAAAAAATTGAAAAAATCGAAAAATTGTGAAATCGAAAAATTGAAGTATAGATATTGTGATTTTGAACTTTGAAAATTTTCAGTTTGTCAGTTCAATTTTTGACTTCTTCGGTTTTTCGATTTTAAAATTTTGCGATTTTTCAGATTTTACATATTTATTTTCATTTTTTTTATTTCGAACCTCTACAAGAGACTGAACTGAAATAAAATCTTTGGAATAAAAACAGGGTGGGTGGGCGGGGCTAGTACCTGCTAAGATAAGACTGATTTTGGCAAATAATATAGCTTCTAAGAAAATGGAGGGCGGGTGGGCGGGGCTAGTACTTGCTAAGATAAGACTAATTTTGGCAAATGACATATTCTGTATTCCTAATACATTTCACTATTAGAGTTCACCACTTTTAAATTATTTTAAATTATGTAGTTATACAGGTCTTAGAAAAATTGAAAAATCAAAAAATTGAAAAAATCGAAAAATTGTGAAATCGAAAAATTGAAGTATAGATATTGTGATTTTGAACTTTGAAAATTTTCAGTTTGTCAGTTCAATTTTTGACTTCTTCGGTTTTTCGATTTTAAAATTTTGCGATTTTTCAGATTTTACATATTTATTTTCATTTTTTTTATTTCGAACCTCTACAAGAGACTGAACTGAAATAAAATCTTTGGAATAAAAACAGGGTGGGTGGGCGGGGCTAGTACCTGCTAAGATAAGACTGATTTTGGCAAATAATATACCTTCTAATAAAATCGAGGGCGGGTGGACGGGGCTAGTACTTGCTAAGATAAGACTAATTTTGGCAAATGACATATTATGTATTCCTAATACATTTCACTATTAGAGTTCACCACTTTTAAATTATTTTAAATTATGTAATTATACAGGTCTTAGAAAAATTGAAAAATCAAAAAATTGAAAAAATCGAAAAATTGAAGTATCGAAAATTTAAGTATATAATAACTGAAAATTTGAAATACTGTAAAATCTAAAAATTCAAGAAAAGAAAAATTGAAATATCTAAAAATTTTAAAAAATGGAAAAATGAAAATTCGAGAAACTGAAACGTCGAAAAAATGAAAAAAAATGAAAACTCGAATCATTGAAGTGTCCAAAAATTGAGAAATTGAAGAAATGGGAAATTTTTTTGGATTTTGTGATTTTTAACTTTGAAAATTTTCAGTTTGTCAGTTCAATTTTTGGCTTCTTCGGTTTTTCGATTTTAAAATTTTGCGATTTTTCAGATTTTACATATTTATTTTCATTTTTTTTAATTCGAACCTCTGCAAGAGACTGAACAGAAATAAAATCTTTAGAATAAAAACAGGGTGGGTGGGCGGGGCTAGTACCTGCTAAGATAAGACTGATTTTGGCAAATAATATACCTTCTAAGAAAATGGAGGGCGGGTGGGCGGGGCTAGTACTTGCTAAGATAAGACTAACTTTGGCAAATGACACATTCTGTATTCCTAATACATTTCACTATTAGAGTTCACCACTTTTAAATTGTTTTAAATTGTGTAATTATACAGGTCTTAGATAAATTGAAAAATCAAAAAATTGAAAAAATCGAAAAATTGAAGTATCGAAAATTTAAGTACATATATAAAAACTGAAAATTTGAAATACTGTAAAATCTAAAAATTCAAGAAAAGAAAAATTGAAATATCTAAAAATTTTAAAAATGGAAAAATGAAAATTCGAGAAACTGAAACGTCGAAAAAATGGAAAAAAATGAAAACTCGAATAATTTAAATGTCCAAAAATTGAGAAATTGAAGAAATGGGATTTTTTTTTGGATTTTGTGATTTTTAACTTTGAAAATTTTCAGTTTGTCAGTTCCATTTTTGACTAATTCGGTTTGTCGATTTTAAAATTTGGCGATTTTTCAGATTTTACATACTTGTTTTAATTTTTTTTAATTCGAACCTCTACAAGAGACTGAACAGAAATAAAATCCTTAGAATAAAAACAGGGTGGGTGGGCGGGGCTAATACCTGCTAAGATAAGACTGATTTTGGCAAATAATATATCTTCTAAGAAAATGGAGGGCGGGTGGGCGGGGCTAGTACTTGCTAAGATAAGACTAACTTTGGCAAATGACACATTCTGTATTCCTAATACATTTCACTATTAGAGTTCACCACTTTTAAATTGTTTTAAATTGTGTAATTATAGAGGTCTTAGATAAATTGAAAAATAAAAAAATTGAAAAAATCGAAAAATTGAAGTATCGAAAATTTAAGTATATAAAAACTGAAAATTTGAAATACTGTAAAATCTAAAAATTCAAGAAAAGAAAAATTGAAATATCTAAAAATTTTAAAAAATGGAAAAATGAAAATTCGAGAAACTGAAACGTCGAAAAAATGAAAAAAAATGAAAACTCGAATCATTGAAGTGTCCAAAAATTGAGAAATTGAAGAAATGGGAAATTTTTTTGGATTTTGTGATTTTTAACTTTGAAAATTTTCAGTTTGTCAGTTCAATTTTTGGCTTCTTCGGTTTTTCGATTTTAAAATTTTGCGATTTTTCAGATTTTACATATTTATTTTCATTTTTTTTAATTCGAACCTCTGCAAGAGACTGAACAGAAATAAAATCTTTAGAATAAAAACAGGGTGGGTGGGCGGGGCTAGTACCTGCTAAGATAAGACTGATTTTGGCAAATAATATACCTTCTAAGAAAATGGAGGGCGGGTGGGCGGGGCTAGTACTTGCTAAGATAAGACTAACTTTGGCAAATGACACATTCTGTATTCCTAATACATTTCACTATTAGAGTTCACCACTTTTAAATTATTTTAAATTATGTAATTATACAGGCCTTAGAAAAATTGAAAAATCAAAAAATTTAAAAAATCGAAAAATTGAAGTATCGAAAATTTAAGTATATAAAAACTGAAAATTTGAAATTCTGTAAAATCTAAAAATTCAAGAAAAGAAAAATTGAAATATCTAAAAATTTTAAAAATGGAAAAATGAAAATTCGAGAAACTGAAACGTCGAAAAAATGGAAAAAAACTGAAAACTCGAATAATATAATTGTCGAAAAATTGAGAAATTGAAGAAATGGGAATTTTTTTTGGATTTTCGATTTTTAACTTTGAAAATTTTCACTTTGTCGGTTTCAATTTTTGACTTCTTTGGTTTTTCGATTTTAAAATTTTGCGATTTTACATATTTAAATTTTTTTAATTCGAACCTCTACGACAAGAGACTGAACAGAAATAAAATCCTTACAATAAAAACAGGGTGGGTGGGCGGGGCTAGTACCTGCTAAGATAAGACTAATTTTGGCAAATAGTAGACCTTCTAAGAAAATGGAGGGCGGGTGGGCGGGGCTAGTACTTGCTAAGATAAGACTCATTTTGGCAAATGACACCTTCTGTATTTCATTTGTTCTTTTTTTTTCGAAAAACGACTGCGTCGGCGTTTACACACAGTAATAAACAAATAAATTGTATAAAGTAGACACAACTAGATACAGTTGTAAACGCCGCCTATTTTTTCCGGGCCAATGAAATGATTTATTAACGCGGAGCTTTTAGAAGTGGGAGGAACATCGGTAATTTTGCTTTTTAAATATGATTCTCATGTCGGTATGCTTATTCAACACCAATTTAATACTTTTTAGATATTTTGTTTAACAATTTATCAATTCTCTCACCAACGATTAACAGATTTGCCTAAGATTCTAATAAGATAATAATTTTGTCATTAATTAACAACAGCAAGAGTGGTCACTAGAATGAAGAGGGGGTGGGTGGGCGGGGCTATTGCTTCCTTATAAAAAACTCCGTAGGAAAAATTTTAACTTAGCCCCGCCCACCCACCCGTTCTCTCATTTTTTCATCTGTACTAAGAAATAAATCTGTGTAACAAAAATTACGATTAGCCCTTTTTTTCTTTTTTTCTTAACAACCGACGTTCCATTAGTTCCCTCTACAGAAGAACATATAATTAACCCCGCCCACCCACCCCGTCTCTATTTCACTGATTACTTTTATCTGGTCCGAATGAACGGTGATTCTTTAACTGAACAGAAATAAAATTGTTAGAATGAAAACCGGGTGGGTGGGCGGGGCTAGGTCCTTCTAAGATAAGACTGATTTTGGCAAATAATATACCTTCGCAGAAAATAGAGGGCGGGTGGGCGGGGCTAGTACTTGCTAAGATAAGACTAATTTTGCCAAATGACATATTCTGTATTTCTAATATGTGTGGCAATTAGAATTCACCACTTTTAAATTGCCTTAAATTATGTAATTATACAGGGTCGCTAAAAAGTAGAGATGGACGCAATTGAATATCGGTCGAATGGTTTGTTGAATCTTATTGAAATTTGGACTGTTCCTAGAAAATTCTATTTTCTGCAATTTTTTCAAATTTTGTACTTTATTGTTTTTTTTTTACACTTTAATAATAAAGAAATAAATTGTGTAAAGTAGATACAACGAGATACAGTTGTAAACGCCGCCCATCTTCTCCGGGCCAATGAGATGATTTATTAAGGTGGAGCTATTGCAAGTGGGAGGAGCATCGGTAATTTTGCTTTTTAAATATAATTCTCATGTCGGTATGCTTATTCAACACCAGCTTAATACTTTTTATATATTTTGTTTAACAATTTATTTATTCTCTTACCAATGGTTAACAGATTTGCCTAAGATAATAATTTTGTCATTAATTAACAATAGAAAGAATAGTTACTAGAATGAAGAAGGGATGGGTGGGTGGGGCGTGTTCTCTGGGTGAGGCTATTGTTTGCTTATAAAAAACTCCATAGGAAAAAGGTAAACTTAGCGCCGCCCACCCACCCGTTTTCTCATTTTTTTTCATTTGAACCAAGAAATAAACCTTACAACAAATATTATATTTTATTATCCCCTCCAAAAAATTGATGACATCAGCTCAAAATTTTTCTTATGTTTTAGTTTCCAGAAATTCTTTACGGCTACATTTCTCATTAGAAATTCCTACCATTTTTCCATTTACCACTGAAACACGACATGACACTATTATAAAAGAAATATAAGTAACTTGATAAAAAGCTTAGTAAAATTTCAATTACAGATAAAACGTGTTAAGTGTTTCCTCATGCCAAAATATCGATCAATTTATCTTTTAAAATTATAATGACTGAAATTTTGAAATTAACTGTCACAGGATTTTTTCGAAATGAAAAATAGCCTGTTAGGACGTACGTCCAGTACGCCACTGTCCCCCAATTAGCATAAAACACCCAATCACGTCCTCTCGTTACCACCTGGCGGCACATTTTAATTTTTGAGGTTATGTTCTCTGTTTTGCTTTCAAACCCATTTTTGACCAAAACAAACCCGCAAAATGGGCACCGCTTTCAATAACACCCACAGATATTTCACGCAGTTTATGTTGAGCAACGGAATTGTGACCCTGGACAATGCCATGAAGTTCTTCGAAGAAATCAGTCCAGGTAGGAAAACAAATCAACAACAATCAATAAAATTGGGCTTTAATTTCAGAACGAAACACGCTGGCGTTTTTGAAGACACTGGTAATAGAAATAAACCGCGAGATTTGCAAGCAGTCTTTCAAAATCGCTACCACTATTTGTGAAATCACCGGTGACAAGGTGTTTGTGTGGCTCAACACGAAAAGCGACGAAGTGAGTCGCTTGCAGGTGGGATTTTCAGCCGTCGAGTTGGAATATTTTCACGCTATATTGCAAGAAATCGTGACTTCGGAAGATCACGTGATCCAGTACCCCCGTGCCATTAATATAGCGTCAACATTGACGGCGACTTTGAGTAGAGATAATGGCGAGAAAGCGCTAATCAGGTGGATTAAAGGGGGCTATTACGTCAAACAAGACGAACGGGTTTTCCTAGGTCCAAGAACTATATTAGAGTTCACGACATTCTTAAGAACAAACACAGAAAATTGCTCCTGTGATCTATGTTCAGAATTAGTTTTTGTGGTAATGTTACTTAAAAAAAAAACGACTTTCAATTTAAGGGTTACTTTTAGGGAGAAACTTGTAACAGTTGTAGCAAGACCTTCCACAAGTTGTGCATCAACAAATACCTCCAAAACCAACAGTCCTGCCCCAGTTGCAGAAACACCTGGGGGGACCCAAATTCCACCATGGACGTTGACTCTGACGCAGACCCCAGACCCAGCCGCCGCCGCCGCCACAATTAAAATTCCAGCGTAATTCTTATTTAATAGAAAAAATATTTTTACATGTTTCAATAAAAATTAAGAAGAATTGTGCAAAAGCTTATTGAAAGCGGCATAAGAACTTTCCAGATCGAAGAGCAGTTGCCGGATTTGCGATTCTGAGAGCTCATCTGAAGCCTGCATGTTATTCAAAGTGTTAAGCCATTCGGTAACTTTCTGTTTGCCTTCAAAATCCGAAGGTAGGATGCTCAGCCTGTTCATAGTGTCCACCAGATCTCTAATTTCCGGATGAAGGTCATCCATGGCCTTTATGTTTAATCTCAACTTATCCATAATGGTAATAAACAACTAAAACAAAAGTTGAATACTGATAACAACCATGACAAGACTTACAGAGACAATGTCTGCAATACACTTGCTAGTGTTGCCCTTATCATCTTTGATTGTGATTGGTCTGTCCTCTTTTATTCTTTCTAGTGCAGCTGGACAGTCCAACTAAAAGTCACCATTATTATTAGGTGGAAGGGAAAATAGTACACACGTACCCGATATTTACGGACGAAAGCATCCACTGTGGGAAAATCGTTTCCTTTGACCTGTCTGAAGGCTGCTTTGTATTGCACCAACAACTTGCTGCAAGCCCCCGTATATTCTTTCGGGGTGACGCAATCTCTAATGTAGGCCTTCTCTAACTGTTGAAGAGTATTTATCACCGCGAATAAGTCAGCCAAATTATCGTACTTCTCTCGTTCACGGGCATTGTGATAGAGTTTGACTTCCTCGTAGAGTTCGGGGCGGTTTTCTAAGACGTGAGGGTGCATCAAGAGTACAGAAATAGGCTTTAAGTGAACGTACCTTGGTTGACTGACATTGTTATTGAGGAAAGTCGGTGAAAACGAGCCGAAAGTGGTTGATTGATTACAGATTAATTGCTTTAGTCATTTTACGACTAATTGTCAAGTTGACAGGTGTTTGACAGTTCACACTGACAGAACAGACGTGTTAAGATGGCGCTTCAATTTAAGTGAGTCACTAGATGGCGCTGACGAAATTCTCCATTACAATGAAAGACAACATTTTCGAAATACTTTATTGATCGAGACAAATTCAGTAAATTAAAACTAACTTGTTATGTACAGGTTTCAAGTGTTCGACACAAATTTGGATCCGTGTCGTACACCGTTAATACACATACAGAAGAAGAAGTTAATTTTCAAACGAATTCTCCGTGTACGTGTATTTCGTTGAACTAACTAACATCTAACTTACTCTAGATTCATAACTCTGTAATAAACTGCTACTCTAGTGCGTCTTAAGTATAAAATAAATTATGTCGTGTACGCTAAGTTATTTTACGATTAAGATCACTCACTTACGCTTTAAAGAGCTATTTCGTTTCCATAAATATGCACTGATAGGATTACAAAAATAAAGCTTTCGGGTAAAAAATAATTGCACTTGAAATTAAACTACGTTTTAGATTTAATTAATTAATACTGCCCTTGTGGTTCATGTAACCGTTAAACTGGGAACTCGCTAGTACTTTATCTATGGCAACTCTTCTCATTCGGGTGCAGGTGGCTAAAAGCGCACCCCCCAACAGACACATGGCGCCGCCCCCTAGCGCTAGAAGCGCGGAAAACCAGCCGGTTTTTAAGCAAACGCTGTTGGGGTCCATCTCTGAAATTCACAAAATTAACAAAACCAACTAAATAGAGTGAAAAGTCACCATAACGTGTCAACGTTACGTTCCGCTCTTCTTCCGATTCGCCCTCCTGAAGAACCCTCAAAGCCTGAAACAGGTTGACGTTTTCTGATAAAGGCGCTGTGTTTGTGGGTAAGGTGGTGGGTTGAGTGGTGGCCTCGATTGAACGCTTCTTCACGTTTTTCACGTTCCTCCAGTGGCAGGGTTGGCTCTGGAAAGTGACAACAATTGGAATAGTTGTGCGTGGTGTTTCGGAAATGTTTACCGGACATCTTCCATGACACATCCTGACGTCACACTCGATATAAAGGGCCGGCGATCCGGTGAACCGGAACGTCTTCATGTAGGCGAACACTTGAGTTTCGTAGACTCCGGTTTCCGACCAGGAACCCCGGAAGCGCGAAATCAGCTTGTCGTCGACCGGACACCTGAAAACACGCTTTAAGATTTTAATTTTTAATAAATGTGTAAATAGGTACCCGTATTCATCTATGAGCTGGATTTTTTTGTGGGCCCCATTATGGGCAAAGCAGTCGTTTACCACAATGTCGAACCCATCTAAACCATAAAAAAATATTAATGTTAATCAAGTCTGGAAATCAGTAGGTTCTCACCATATTTGCTGCGCATGTAGATAATGAGGGTCAAGGGATCGCCCACCCGGACTGGTCCGGTGACTCGGTTCCCACTCGTGCCGTAACCGTACCGGATTTCCATGTAGCATTCCGGAGGTGTCAACGTAAACACTACCGGATTTCCCGTGGCGACTCTGCAACATCATCTCCTGATAAAAATCGCGCGACGTCGCAACTAACTGTCAAACAATTATTGTTGGTCCACACCGCAAAAAAGACATTATGGTGGCGTTTATTCCGACATTAAGCCGATTTAACTTACTCGACGTCTAAGAACGGAAACGTAACGGTTTTCCAGAAGTCGTAGCCGTACTCGCAGGTCACTTTGAAGTGCTCGTCGTACTCTTCCTCGATGAGGGGGTTGTATTGGACGGTGACGGTGTTCCACATGAAGTTTTTCTAAAACACAGTGGTAGTTGTGGATAATGGTAATATGGTTATAAAACCAAAAACGAATATAAAAAAGAAAAAAAAGTTGGCCGCCCGAGCAGGGACTTGAACCCTGGACCCTTGGATTAAAAGTCCAATGCTCTACCGACTGAGCTACCCGGGCTGTTGATAGATGGTGGGGACTTACTGTAGGGGTTTTCCGGTTGTCGTCGTTGTGGGTATTTTTGCCCAAAGTTCCACATCGATTTAGCTGGATGTAGAATTCGTAATAGTCGCGGCCTGTGCCGTTGATGTACATACAGTCTGGGTCGTAGGCATAACCTGAAAAAAGTTTAATTTAATTCATTCATTTATTTATTAATTGATTTGCCGCCTTGTCGAAATAGAAATTATGGGCAATTTGTCAAACTGGTGTTACGTGTGATTGTGCGGCCGATAGTGACCGTTACTGTAAAAGTGAGCGGCACATTTAGATTGTTAGTGATAGTCTGATTATGAGTTGACCTGAATTAATTCACAGGCACCCTGTATTAATTAGTTCTTATCTGCTTTTTAACGTTGTTGAATTATTTATGTCGTCGTTATTTTTCACCTGCTTTAATAAAAATTTCACAAAAAATGACTGAAACATTTTTTCCGACTTGATAAAATACCATTGTGAAATTTTATCGCTATAAAACAATGTAAAAAAATATTACACTGCCTAGATTCTAAACGGGCAAACATTTCGGAGTGAAAATCGCTCAATGCGACTAGAAAACTTCAGGGAAGTCGAAAATCGAGAAAATCTAAGAACTGAGAAACCGAAAAATTGAAAAATCAACAAATTAAAAATCATTTTTGGATTTTTTTAGCTTTTGGAATCAAAAAATTAAAAACTACAAAATTGTAAAACTAAAAAATCAAAAGAAAAACGAAAATGTATAAGACACAAATTTTGAAAATCTGAAAATTGGAAATGAGGAAAAAATTTAAAAAACGAGAAATTTATTCGATTTATTAATTTTTATAATTTCTCGATATTTCATTTTTCAGTTTTTCGATCTTTACGATTCTGACAGTTCTATAATTTTTCAGTTTTATAGTTTTCGATTTTTAAGTTTCCCCATTTTTAGTTTTTCAGTGTTCAATTTTCCCTTTCCTTAGTTCTTCGATTTGTAATTTTCCTATTTTACAATTTTTCGTTTTTTCAGTTTTTTGATTTTTCAATTTTTTCCAATTTTTATTTTTTCGATTTGCAGGTTTTCAATTTTTCAGCAAAAAAACAACTGATATTTTGAAAAATTGCAAAATGAAATTTTAGGTTATTTTTCCTGATAGACTGTATAAAATCTAGAATTTCAAATATCGAAAAATTAAGAAATCGAAAAATTGAAAAACTCAACAAATTAAAAATCATTTTTGGATTTTTTAACTTTTCGAGTCAAAAAATTAAAAACTTCAAAATTGTAAAATTAAAAAATCGGAAGAAAAACGAAAAAGTATACGACAAAAACTTTGAAAAATCGAGAATTCTAACAAATGGAAAATCGAAAAATTGTAAAATCCAAGAGTTGGAAATTGAAAAATTTAAAAATCGAATGATTAGAAAACGAAAAACTAAAAATCGAAAAACTGAAAAATGAAAAAATGAAAATTTGCAAAATTGAAAAATCGACAAATTAAAGCTAGAGATACAAAAAACCGAAAAATTCCAAGAACGGAAAATTGAGTAATTAAAAACTGAGAAGTCGAAAATCGAAAAAATCTAACAATTGAAAAATTGAAAAATCAACAAATTAAAAATCATTTTTGGATTTTTTAACTTTTCGAATCAAAAAATTAAAAACTACAAAATTGTAAAACTAAAAAATCAAAAGAAAAACGAAAATGTTTAAGACAAAAATTTTGAAAAATCTGAAAATTGGAAATGAAGAAAAAATTGAAAAAACGACAAATTTATTCGATTCATTAATTTTTATAATTTCTCGATATTTCATTTTTCAGTTTTTCGATCTTTACGATCCTGACAGTTCTATAATTTTTCAGTTTTATAGTTTTCGATTTTTAAGTTTCCCCATTTTTAGTTTTTCAGTGTTCAATTTTCCCTTTCCTTAGTTCTTCGATTTGTAATTTTCCTATTTTACAATTTTTCGTTTTTTCAGTTTTTTGATTTTTCAATTTTTTCAAATTTTTATTTTTTCGATTTGCAGGTTTTCAATTTTTCAGCAAAAAAAACAATTGATATTTTGAAAAATTGCAAAATGAAATTTTAGGTTATTTCTCCTGATAGACTGTATAAAATCTAGAATTTCAAATATCAAAAAATTGAAAAATCGAGAAATTGAAAAAATCAACAAATTAAAAATTATTTTTGGGTTTTTTAACTTTTCGAATCAAAAAATTAAAAACTTCAAAATTGTAAAATTAAAAAATCGGAAGAAAAACGAAAAAGTATACGACAAAAACTTTGAAAAATTGAGAATTCTAACAAATGGAAAATCGAAAAATTGTAAAATCCAAGAGTTGGAAATTGAAAAATTTAAAAATCGAATGATTAAAAAACGAAAAACTGAAAATCGAAAAACTGAAAAATGAAAAAATGAAAATTTGCAAAAATGAAAAACCGACAAATTAAAGCTAGAGATACAAAAAACCGAAAAATTCCAAGAACGGAAAATTGAATAATTAAAAACTGAGAAGTCGAAAATCGAGAAAATCTAACAATTGAAAAATCGAAAAATTGAAAAATCAACAAATTAAAAATCATTTTTGGATTTTTTTAATTTTTTGGAATCAAAAAATTAAAAACTACAAAATTGTAAAACTGAAAAATCAAAAGAAAAACGAAAATGTTTAAGACAAAAATTTTGAAAAATCTGAAATTTGGAAATGAAGAAAAAAATGAAAAAACGACAAATTTATTCGATTTTTCAATTTTTCGATCTTTACGATTCTGACAGTTCTATAATTTTTCAATTTTATAGTTTTCGATTTTTAAGTTTCCCCATTTTTAGTTTTTCAGTGTTCAATTTTCCCTTTCCTTAGTTCTTCGATTTGTAATTTTCCTATTTTACAATTTTTCGTTTTTTCAGTTTTTTGATTTTTCAATTTTTTCCAATTTTTTATTTTTTCGATTTGCAGGTTTTCAATTTTTCAGCAAAAAAACAATTTATTAAAACTGATATTTTGAAAAATTCAAAAAAGAGATTTTAGATTATTTTTCCTGATCGACTGTATAAAAGCTATAATTTCAAAAATAGAAAAATTGAGAATTGGAGTAAAGGAAAAATCGAAAAATTGTAAAGTCCAAGAATTGGTAATCGAAAAGTTTAAAAATCGAACGATTAAAAAGCGGAAAACTAAAAATCGAAAAACTGAAAAATGGAAAAAATGAAAATTTGGAAAATGAAAAATCGACAAATTAAAGCTAGAGAAACAAAAAACCGAAAAATTGCAAGAACGGAAAAGTGAATAATTAAAAACTGAGAAGTGGAAAATCGGGAAAATCTAAGAACTGAGAAATAGAAAAATTGAAAAATCAACAAATTAAAAATAATTTTTGGATTTTTTAACTTTTTGAATCACAAAATTAAAAATTTCAAAATGGTAAAATAAAAAAATCGAAAGAAAAACGAAAAAGCATAAGACAAAAACTTGGAAAACTTTTAAAATTGGAAAGGAAGAAAAAAATTGCGATTTGCAGTTTTTCAATTTTTCAGCAAAAAACTCAATTTATTAAAACTGATATTTTGAAAAATTGCAAAAAAAAGATTTTAGATTATTTTTTCTGATGGACTGCGCAAAATCTGTAATTTCAAATATCGAAAAATTGAGAATTCGAATAAATGAAAAATCGAAAAATTGTAAAATCCAAGAATTGGAAATCGAAAAATGTAAAAACCGAACGATTAAAAAGCGAAAAACTAAAAATCGAAAAACTGAAAAATGAAAAAATGAAAATTTGCAAAATTGAAAAATCGACAAATTAAAGCTAGAGACACAAAAAACCCAAAAATTCCAAGAACGGAAAATTGAATAATTAAAAACTGAGAAGTCGAAATCGAGAAAATCTAAAAATTGAAAAATCGAAAAATTGAAAAATCAACAAATTAAAAATCATTTTTGGATTTTTTTAACTTTTCGAATCAAAAAATTAAAAACTACAAAATTGTAAAACTAAAAAATCAAAAGAAAAACGAAAATGTATAAGACAAAAATTTTGAAAAATTGAAAATTCTAACAAATGGAAAATCGAAAAATTGTAAAATCCAAGAGTTGGAAATTGAAAAATTTAAAAATCGAATGATTAAAAAACGAAAAACTAAAAATCGAAAAACTGAATAATGAAAATTTGCAAAATTGAAAAATCGACAAACTAAAGCTAGAGATACAAAAAACCGAAAAATTCCAAGAACGGAAAATTGAATAATTAAAAACTGAGAAGTTGAAAATCGAGAAAATCTAACAATTGAAAAATCGAAAAATTGAAAAATCAACAAATTAAAAATCATTTTTGGATTTTTTTAACTTTTCGAATCAAAAAATTAAAAACTACAAAATTGTAAAACTAAAAAATCGGAAGAAAAACGAAAAAGTATACGACAAAAACTTTGAAAAATTGAGAATTCTAACAAATGGAAAATCGAAAAATTGTAAAATCCAAGAGTTGGAAATTGAAAAATTTAAAAATCGAATGATTAAAAAACGAAAAACTAATAAAAATCGAAAAACTGAAAAATGCAAATTTGCAAAATTGAAAAATCGACAAACTAAAGCTAGAGATACAAAAAACCGAAAAATTCCAAGAACGGAAAATTGAATAATTAAAAACTGAGAAGTCGAAAATCGAGAAAATCTAACAATTGAAAAATCGAAAAATTGAAAAATCAACAAATTAAAAATCATTTTTGGATTTTTTTAACTTTTCGAATCAAAAAATTAAAAACTACAAAATTGTAAAACTAAAAAATCTAAAGAAAAACGAAAATGTATAAGACAAAAATTTTGAAAAATCTGAAAATTGGAAATGAAGAAAAAATGAAAAAACGACAAATTTATTCGATTTATCAATTTTTAAAATTCCCAGATATTTCATTTTTCAATTTTTCGATCTTTACGATTCTGACAGTTCTATAATTTTTCAGTTTTATAGTTTTCGATTTTTAAGTTTCCCCATTTTTAGTTTTTCAGTGTTCAATTTTCCCTTTCCTTAGTTCTTCGATTTGTAATTTTCCTATATTACAATTTTTCGTTTTTTCAGTTTTTTGATTTTTCAATTTTTTCCAATTTTTATTTTTTCGATTTGCAGGTTTTCAATTTTTCAGCAAAAAAAAACAATTGATATTTTGAAAAATTGCAAAATGAAATTTTAGGTTATTTTTCCTGACAGACTGTATAAAATCTAGAATTTCAAATCTCGAAAAATTTAAAAAATCAACAAATTAAAAATCATTTTTGAATTTTTTAACTTTTCGAATCAAAAAATTAAAAACTTCAAAATTGTAAAATTAAAAAATCGGAAGAAAAACGAAAAAGTATACGACAAAAACTTTGAAAAATTAAGAATTCTAACAAATGGAAAATCGAAAAATTGTAAAATCCAAGAGTTGGAAATTGAAAAATTTAAAAATCGAAGATTAAAAAACGAAAAACTAAAAATCGAAAAACTGAAAAATGAAAAAATGAAAATTTGCAAAATTGAAAAATCGACAAATTAAAGCTAGAGATACAAAAAACCGAAAAATTCCAAGAGCGGAAAATTGAATAATTAAAAACTGAGAAGTCGAAAATCGAGAAAATCTAACAATTGAAAAATCGAAAAATCGAAAAATCAACAAATTAAAAATCATTTTTGGATGTTTTTAACTTTTCGAATCAAAAAATTAAAAACTACAAAATTGTAAAACTAAAAAATCAAAAGAAAAACGAAAATGTATAAGACAAAAATTTTGAAAAATCTGAAAATTGGAAATGAAGAAAACATTGAAAAAACGACAAATTTATTCGATTTATTAATTTTTATAATTTCTCGATATTTCATTTTTCAGTTTTTCGATCTTTACGATTCTGACAGTTCTATAATTTTTCAGTTTTATAGTTTTCGATTTTTAAGTTTCCCCATTTTTAGTTTTTCAGTGTTCAATTTTCCCTTTCCTTAGTTCTTCGATTTGTAATTTTCCTATTTTACAATTTTTCGTTTTTTCAGTTTTTTGATTTTTCAGTTTTTTCCAATTTTTATTTTTTCGATTTGCAGGTTTTCAATTTTTCAGCAAAAAAAAAAACAATTGATATTTTGAAAAATTGCAAAATGAACTTTTAGGTTATTTTTCCTGACAGACTGTATAAAATCTAGAATTTCAAATATCGAAAAATTGAGAAACCGAAAAATTGAAAAAATCAACAAATTAAAAATCATTTTTGGATTTTTTAACTTTTCGAATCAAAAAATTAAAAACTTCAAAATTGTAAAATTAAAAAATCGGAAGAAAAACGAAAAAGTATACGACAAAAACTTTGAAAAATTGAGAATTCTAACAAATGGAAAATCGAAAAATTGTAAAATCCAAGAGTTGGAAATTGAAAAATTTAAAAATCGAATGATTAAAAAACGAAAATCTAAAAATCGAAAAACTGAAAAATGCAAATTTGCAAAATTGAAAAATCGACAAACTAAAGCTAGAGATACAAAAAACCGAAAAATTCCAAGAACGGAAAATTGAATAATTAAAAACTGAGAAGTCGAAAATCGAGAAAATCTAACAATTGAAAAATCGAAAAATTGAAAAATCAACAAATTAAAAATCATTTTTGGATTTTTTTAACTTTTCGAATCAAAAAATTAAAAACTACAAAATTGTAAAACTAAAAAATCTAAAGAAAAACGAAAATGTATAAGACAAAAATTTTGAAAAATCTGAAAATTGGAAATGAAGAAAAAATGAAAAAACGACAAATTTATTCGATTTATCAATTTTTATAATTTCTCGATATTTCATTTTTCAGTTTTTCGATCTTTACGATTCTGACAGTTCTATAATTTTTCAGTTTTATAGTTTTCGATTTTTAAGTTTCCCCATTTTTAGTTTTTCAGTGTTCAATTTTCCCTTTCCTTAGTTCTTCGATTTGTAATTTTCCTATTTTACAATTTTTCGTTTTTTCAGTTTTTTGATTTTTCAGTTTTTTCCAATTTTTATTTTTTCGATTTGCAGGTTTTCAATTTTTCAGCAAAAAAAAAAACAATTGATATTTTGAAAAATTGCAAAATGAACTTTTAGGTTATTTTTCCTGACAGACTGTATAAAATCTAGAATTTCAAATATCGAAAAATTGAGAAACCGAAAAATTGAAAAAATCAACAAATTAAAAATCATTTTTGGATTTTTTAACTTTTCGAATCAAAAAATTAAAAAATTCAAAATTGTAAAATTAAAAAATCGGAAGAAAAACGAAAAAGTATACGACAAAAACTTTGAAAAATTGAGAATTCTAACAAATGGAAAATCGAAAAATTGTAAAATCCAAGAGTTGGAAATTGAAAAATTTAAAAATCGAATGATTAAAAAACGAAAAACTAAAAATCGAAAAACTGAAAAATGAAAAAATGAAAATTTGCAAAATTGAAAAATCGACAAATTAAAGCTAGAGATACAAAAAACCGAAAAATTCCAAGAACGGAAAATTGAATAATTAAAAACTGAGAAGTCGAAAATCGAGAAAATCTAACAATTGAAAAATCGAAAAATTGAAAAATCAACAAAATAAAAATCATTTTTGGATTTTTTTAACTTTTCGAATCAAAAAATTAAAAACTACAAAATTGTAAATATAAAAAATCAAAAGAAAAACGAAAATGTAGAAGACAATAATTTTGAAAAATCTGAAAATTGGAAATGAAGAAAAAATTGAAAAAACGACAAATTTATTCGATTTATTAATTTTTAAAATTTCCCGATATTTCATTTTTCAATTTTTCGATCTTTACGATTCTGACAGTTGTATAATTTTTCAATTTTATAGTTTTCGATTTTTAAGTTTCCCCATTTTTAGTTTTTCAGTGTTCAATTTTCCCTTTCCTTAGTTCTTCGATTTGTAATTTTCCTATTTTACAATTTTTCGTTTCTTCAGTTTTTTGATTTTTCAATTTTTTCCAATTTTTTATTTTTCGATTTGCAGTTTTTCAATTTTTCAGCGAAAAACTCAATTTATTAAAACTGATATTTTGAAAAATTGCAAAAAAAGATTTTAGATTATTTTTTCTGATGGACTGTGTAAAATCTATAATTTCAAATATCGAAAAATTGAGAATTCGAATAAACGAAAAATCGAAAAATTGTAAAATCCAAGAATTGGAAATCGAAAAATATAAAAACCGAACGATTAAAAAGCGAAAAACTAAAAATCGAAAAACTGAAAAATGGAAAAAATAAAAATTGGAAAATTCAAAAATCAACAAATTAAAAACCATTTTTGGATTTTTTAACTTTTCGAATCAAAAAATTAAAAAGTTCAAAATTGCAAAATTAAAAAATCAAAAGAAAAACGAAAAGTATAAGACAAAAATTTTGAAAATTCTGAAAATTGGAAATGAAGAAAAAATTGAAAAAACGACAAATTGAAAAATGAGAAACTCAAAAATCGAAGTGCGACATCGAAAAAACGAGTAATTGAGAAAAACACGAAAAAACGAAAAATTGCGATATCAAGAAATTGTGAAATCAAAGAAGGAAAAACGAAGCATTATTATATTATATATTCTTAGAGAGTATGTTATTTGCCAAACTCAGTCTTATCTTAGCAAGTAGTAACCCCGCCCACCCTCCCTCTATTTTCTTATAAGATATGTCATCTGCCAAAATCGTCTTATCGAATCGGAATTTTTTTAACACAAGGTTCTTGATAGGGAAGGGAACAATTTTCAAACAAACAGGGTCCGTTTAAGCGAGATATGATCCAAATCTGAAAAATTTGGCCACAGAATGACCACGGAAAAATTTAGTCGAAAATTAAACAGTTTCCGATCTGCTTGAAATTCGATTTCTAGACTAATTTTGCTCCATTGAGTCCGTTTCTAGCGTCAGTTGTTGAAAATTTTCACTATTTTAAACGAAATTTTTTTTAATTCGTACTCAAAAACCAAATTTTGAGTTTGACAGTCCATAACTTCGAAACCGGCTGAGATTCAGAGTTCAGGTTTTCATCATTCGTTTTTTTGAAGTTTTCTAGTCGCACTGAGTAATGTTCAGGCCGAAATTTTTGCCCGTTTATCCCATCAAACTTACGTTTTAATCTTCAATTCGAAAAACAAAAACCGCCTCAACCAGTAAACGCACTCCGCTCCGTCAAATCCCCGATTTGATGCGATCCTGGCACCTTTCCCACGACGAACCAACCGTCAAAATCGAAGGATCGAAGAACAGAATTGCGGTTTCGCCTCAGGTTAGCAACCTTAAATTTAATTACCGACGACAAAACGGTGCAGGATTAAAAGATTAAACAGCACGTCTCGTTGGCATTCCGTCGCTTATCTAATTACCCATCTTTTTTATTCAAACACCCATCGTTTTGCGCGAAATTACTATCTAGCGAAAAAGCGAACAAAGACGCTCTTGGATCGCCAGCCACCGTGTAATGCGACTTTTTTAAAAACCATTAAAACAATTTAGAGCACTGTTATTTTGATTTGACTTGCATTTCGCACTTCTGCTATGCCGTGATGTAAGTGCGATTTTTTCTCGCCGCTGGAATTCAAACTGGTGCCGTTTTTAATGGACGTTTTGTGGGAGATTATTGCTTCTTTTATGGTAATTTAAAGGCGATTTGCGGAGTTTTTCGGCGTTCTCGAAACGCGATCGATTCCGAGGATAAATGGTAGCGCGTCTGGTTAACAGTTTAATTTGGTGGGTAGCATGGTCTGATAACTGGCGAAAATTCCCATGACCCAGTGGGATTATTACCATCACATCGTTAAAAAGTGTGTGTGTCGTACCTGCCGAGTACACCAGTCCCGTGAAGGTTCCGTTGAATCCGATCCTGATTTTCATGTAGTCGTCCTGGCACTCCGCCTCGATATCTGCAAAGAAAAACCACGTCATCGCCAAAGTAGGCCAGGAGTCCTTATCGCAGGATCGCCGACGGTCACTTTCCCGCCAAGCTGACCGGAACACTTACGCAAACTTAACACCGGAAACACTTTCCGTATCGAGATTAAGTATCGGCGAAAACTTACGTTGGACCCGCGTGGTGTTGAACCGGAATCTCCTGTACTCGCGGTCCCAGCTCTCCACGGGGTGGTGCCAGTCGACGTCGTCGGGGGCGGACGGGAGGTCGCGGGTCCTCAGGTTCGGTAAGGGGACGTAGCCCGAGGTGTCCCCAATAAATACCACCTAAAAATGATTGTTTTTTTCAATGTCGAGCTGAGATAAGTGACAGTGGCACACAAAGCCACAAACCTAGCTCGTGAACATCCCACTGACATAGAAGACATGGGCTCTTTGAGCGATTATGGTCGAAATAGAGCAAAACGGGCGATTTGCATATTACGTTACACGCGTGCGAGATTTCGATGCAGGGGCAGAGGTTTTTCTGTATTAGCCAAAATGATTACCACATCACTTTCTATGCACACAATGGAGGATCTACATCGAAACCTATGTACTCAATTGACATTGCTCAAGAGTTCCTTTATGAGGGATAATAAGTATGTTTCATTTTTGACAGATCGGATACATCTCTGAATTGTAAGGAGGCGTTCAAGGAGCGGGTAAAGGCTGTAGTGAGGTTTTGCCAAAAAGCGAGTCGTAGTTGGAAGCATTTTAACGTTTTTTTTTTAATATGAATTTGATTTTTTTTTAATATCGACCTATTTCAAAATTTTCGAAATTTTGACGTGCTCGTTAGAAGTAAATTTTTAGCTTCATACGTTGGCACAGTTATTTTTTTGCCATCTTAAAATTTTGGTTTACTTTTAGATTAATTCTACTTAATATCTTGAAATTTTAATTATAGTGTGCAAATTTGAATTCAATCAGGTGAAAGTTTCGATTTTTTCAAAAATTTAAATACCTGGAAATTCACTATTTTGAAATTTTGATCCACGTACTTTATTGAAATTTCGGAAAAACGAATTGAAATTTTATTTTTCATAATCTTTATTTATGACGATAGTTCAAAGTTCCCATTTACTAGTTCTAGCTTTTTTTGGTACCTATTTTTGTATGTTCTTTCAACACTTCGTTGAATTTAGATTTGGTTCTACAATTAAGTATTTCAAAATTTCTATTTGGTTAAATTGATACTGAAAGCTTTTATTTCGAAATTTGTATTATTTTTACGTAATTTCTTGTCATTATTTCAAAAATTTGATTTATTACCTCCAAATTTCATAATAATGAACTTCAAATCTCAAATTTCTTGGAATTTCACTAGACGGAAAATTTGTTTTGGGACATTTTGTGCAATCTTTTGAAGTTTTCAGTTGCTTCCCAAAATTTTGACTAGCTAAAATTTCGATTCACTTACTTAAAAATGTAAGCCCGGCCACCCGCCCTATCTCAATTGTTATGATTTTTCTATTCGCTGTGAACCAAGGGGGCGGAGCTTAACAGCAAAATACTTATTTCTTTACAAGGAATTAAAAACATGTTTTTGAGTATCGCGTTGTTCAAAGAATACCACGTACGTTAAGAAAAAAGGCAAAATATTAAACCCGCCCACCCACCCCGTCTCAATTGTGATGATTTTTTTATTCTTACAAATGAAAACACGTTTCAAATGGTAAATTTGTATAGCAAAATATCGATTTTGAAATTAGGCAACGCCCCTCGGTCTGACAACGAATGAAAAATTCATCACAATTGAGATAGGGCGGGTGGGCGGGCTTATATTTTGCCTTTTTTTTTCTTAATATATATAGCCACCTTGTCATTACAAGAAACTTAAAACATGGTTAAAATGGTTTGTGTAAAAAAATATGGGTTTCGCAATTATGGGGCGGAGCCTAATTGCAAAATCCATATTTCCTTATACAAATTTTCTATTTTAAAAATGTTTTAAGTTTCATGTTGTGAAAAAGATATTAAAAGAAAAAGGGAAAATGTAAGCCCGCCCACCCGCCCTATCTCAATTGTAATAATTTTTCTTTATTCGCTGTGAACCAAGGGGGCGGAGCTTAACTGCAAAATACTTATTTCTTTACAAGAAAAACCTGTTTTTGAGTATCGTGTTGTTCAAAGAATACTATGTACATTAAGAAAAAAAGGCAAAATGTATACCCCGCCCACCCACCTCTCTCAATTGTGATGATTTTTTTAATCTTACAAACTTAAAACACGTTTAAAATGGTAAATTTGTATAGGAAAACATCGATTTTACAATTACGCTACGCCCCTCGGTCTGACAACGAATGAAAAGTTCATCAGAAATGAGAGAGGGCGGGTGGGCGGGGCTTATATTTTGCTTTTTTTTTCTTAATTTAAAATATGGTTAAAATGGTTTGGCAAGGAAATGTGGGTGTTGGAATTATGGGACGGAGCCTAATTGCTAAATCGATATTTCCTAATACAAATTTTGCCTTTAAAAAATGTTTTAAGTTTCTTGTTGTAAAAAAAGTCTACACATATTAAACGAAAAGGCAAAATGTAAGCCCGCCCACCCGCCCTATCTCAATTGTTATAATTTTTTTTATTCGCTGTGAACCAAGGGGGCGGAGCTTAACTGCAAAACACTTATTTCTGTACAAGAAATTAAAAACATGTTTTTGAGTATCGTGTTGTTCAAAGGATACCATGTACGTTAAGAAAAAAGGCAAAATATTAATCCCGCCCACCCACCCCGTCTCAATTGTTATGATTTTTTTTATTCGCTGTGAACCAAGGGGGCGGAGCTTAACTGCAAAATAGTTATTTCTTTACAATAAAATTAAAAACATGTTTTTGAGTATCGTGTTGTTCCAAAAATACCAAGTATGTTAAGAAAAAAAGGGAAAAAAATGAAAATTGGAAATGAAAAAAAATTTTAAAAAACGACAGATTTATTAGTTTTATCAATTTTTATGATTTCTCGATATTTCATTTTTCAATTTTTCGATCTTCCGATGGTTTTAGACTTCACGATTCTGACAGTTCTATAATTTTTCAATTTTACTGTTTTCGATTTTTAGGTTTCCCCATTTTTAGTTTTTGAAAGTTCAGTTTTTCTTTTCCTTGGTTCTTCGATTTGTAATTTTCCTATTTTACAATTTTTCGTTTTTTCAGTTTTTTTATTTTTCAATTTTTTATTTTTTGATTTTTTCGATTTGCAGTTTTTCAGCAAAAAAAAAAACAATTTATTAAAATTAATATTTTGAAAAATTGCAAAACTAGATTTTAGATTGTTTTTCCTGATAGACTGTATAAAATCTATAATTTCAAATATCGAAAAATTGAAAATTCGAATAAATGAAAATCCAAGAACTGGAAATCGAAAAATTTAAAAATCGACAGATTACAAAGCGAAAAACTAAAATCGAAAAACTGAAAAATGAAAAAATGAAAATTTGGAAAATTGAAAAATCGACAAATTAAAGCCAGAGAAACAAAAAACCGAAAAATTGCAAGAACGGAAAATTGAATAATTAAAAACTGAAAAGTCAAAAATCGAGGAAATCTAAGAACTGAGAAATCGAAAAATTGAAAAATCAACAAATTAAAAGTCATTCATGGATTTTTTAACTTTTCGAATCAAAAAATTTAAAACTACAAAATTGTAAACTTAAAAAATCAAAAGAAAAACGAAAAAGCATAAGACAAAAATTTTTAAAAATTTGAAAGTTGGAAACGAAAAAATTTAAAAAACGACAAATTTATTCGATTTATCAATTTTTATGATTTCTCGATATTTTATATTGTTAATTTTTCGATCTTCCGATGGTTTTAGACTTTAGGATTCTCACAGTTCTATAATTTTTCAATTTTATAGTTTTCGATTTTTAAGTTTCCCCATTTTTAGTTTTTCAATGTTCAATTTTCCCTTTCCTTAGTTCTTCGATTTGTAATTTTCCTATTTTATAATTTTTCGTTTTTTCAGTTTTTTTATTTTTCAATTTTTTATTTTTCGATTTTTTCGATTTGCAGTTTTTCAGCAAAAAAAAACAATTTGTTAAAATTAATATTTTGAAAAATTGCAACACTAGATTTTAGATTGTTTTTCCTGATAGACTGTATAAAATCTATAATTTCAAATATCGAAAAATTGAAAATTCGAATAAATGAAAATCCAAGAACTGGAAATCGAAAAATTTAAAAATCGACAGATTACAAAGCGAAAAACTAAAATCGAAAAACTGAAAAATGAAAAAATGAAAATTTGGAAAATTGAAAAATCGACAAATTAAAGCCAGAGAAACAAAAAATCGAAAAATTGCAATAACGGAAAATTGAATAATTAAAAACTGAAAAGTCAAAAATCGAGGAAATCTAAGAACTGAGAAATCGAAAAATTGAAAAATCAACAAATTAAAAATCATTTTTGGATTTTTTAACTTTTCGAATCAAAAAATTTAAAACTACAAAATTGTAAAATTAAAAAATCAAAAGAAAAACGAAAAAGCATAAGACAAAAATTTTGAAAAATTTGAAAGTTGGAAATGAAGAAAAAATTGAAAAAACGACGAATTTATTCGATTTATCAATTTTTATGATTTCTCGATATTTCATTTTTCAATTTTTCGATCTTCCGATGGTTTTAGACTTTAGGATTCTGACAGTTCTATAATTTTTCAATTTTATAGTTTTCGATTTTTAAGTTTCCCCATTTTTAGTTTTTCAATGTTCAATTTTCCCTTTCCTTAGTTCTTCGATTTGTAATTTTCCTATTTTACAATTTTTCGTTTTTTCAGTTTTTTTATTTTTCAATTTTTTCCAATTTTTCAGCAAAAAAAAAACAATTTATTAAAACTGATATTTTAAAAAATTGCAAAAAAGAGATTTTAGATTATTTTTTCTGATGGACTGTATAAAATCTATAATTTCAAATATCGAAAAATTCAAAATTCGAATAAATAAAAAATCGAAAAATTGTAAAATCCGAGAATTGGAAAACGAAAAATTTAAAAATCGAACGATTGAAAAGCGAAAAACAACATGTTTTTGAGTTTCGTGTTGTTCAAAAAATACTATGTACATTAAGAAAAAAAGTCAGAAAAATCTACACAGCATTTTTTTAATTATAGTTTCTTCAGAAGGAAAATTAGTTTTGGAATATTTCGTGCTATTTTTTTAAGTTTTCAGTTCATTCCTAAAATTTTGACTCTCTAAAATTTCGATTTAATTATTTAAAAATTTTAACAACGGCTATTCAAAAATTTTTATTTCGTTAACTCAAAATAGGTAGATAATTATTGCCTCAGAATTTTTATTTATTAGGAAGCTTCAAACTTTTGATTTACAAGTTTGAACTTTCGACTTTTTTTTAGTTTTTTTTTTGTGTTTCTTCAACACTAACAAATTAAGATTTCGTTCTACAATTTCGAAATTTCGACTTCGTTAAATTGAAACTAAATTTTTTCATTTCTTTTATTCAAAATTTTGTTTTAGTTTGACGCAATTTCTTGATATTATTTAGAAATTTTCATTTATTACCTCGAAATTTCTATATAATAATTAATCCCAAGTTTCAAATTACTATGTTGAAATTTGAAATAATTTTTAAATTATTTAGGTAAAAATTGTGATTTACTTTTCGACTACTCAGCATTTTTTTAAATTCGAGTTTCATCAGATGGAAAATTTGTTTGTGGATAATTCGTTTTGTTGTTTTGAAGTTTTAAGTTGATTTTTAAAATTTTGACTGGCTTAAATTTCGATTTAATTATTTAAAAATTTTGACAATGGCTGTTCAAAAGTTTCGATTTCGTTGACTCGAAATAGGTAGATAATTAATGTCTCAGAATTTGTATTCATTACGAAGCTTCAAACTTTTGATTTTCAAGTTAGAACTTTCGACTTTTTTTTTAGTTTTTTTTGTGTTTCTTCAACACTAACAAATTAAGATTTCGTTCTACAATTTCGAAATTTCCACTCCGTTAAATTGAAACTAAATTTTTTCATTTCTTTTATTCAAAATTTTGATTTAGTTTGACGCAATTTCTTGGTATTATTTAGAAATTTTCATTTATTACCTCGAAATTTCAATATAATAAGTAATCCAAAGTTTTAAATTACTATGTTTAAATATGAAATAATTTTTAAATTATTTAGGTATAAATTTTGATTTGCTTTTTCGAAATTCCGTCTTGATGTCTCGAATTTTCAAGTCGTACAACAATAAAGTTTCTGTGTGATTATGTTATAACTATATATCTACTCAGCATTTTTTTAAATTCGAGTTTCATCAGATGGAAAATTTGTTTTTGGATATTTCGTTTTGTTGTTTTGAAGTTTTAGTTGATTTTTAAAACTTTGACTCACTTAAATTTCGATTTAATTATTTAAAAATTTTGACAATGGCTGTTCAAAAGTTTCGATTTCGTTAACTCGAAACAGGTAGATAATTAATGTCTCAGAATTTTTATTAATTACGCAGCTTCAAATTTTTGATTACAAGTTTGAATTTTCGTCTTTTTTTTTGTGTTTCTTCAACACTAATAAATTAAGATTTTGTTCTACAATTTTGAAATTTCGACTTCGTTAAATTGAAACTAAATTTTTTCATTTCTTTTATTCGAAATTTTGATTTAGTTTGACGCAATTTCTTGGTACTACTTAAAAATTTTCATTTATTACCTCAAAATTTCAATATAATAATTAATCCCAAGTTTTAAATTACTTGTGTTGAAATTTGAAATAATTTTTAAATTAATTAGGTAAAAATTTTGATTTGCTTTTTCGAAATTCCGTCTTGATGTCTCGAATTTTCAAGTCGTACAACAATAAAGTTTCTATGTGATTATGCTATAACTATATATCTACTGAGCATTTTTTTAAATTCGAGTTTCATCAGATGGAAAATTTGTTTTTGGATATTTCGTTTTGTTGTTTTGAAGTTTCAGTTAATTTTTAAAATTTTGACTCGCTTAAATTTCGATTTAATTATTTAAAAATTTTGACAACGGCTGTTCAAAAGTTTCGATTTCGTTGACTCGAAATAGGTAGATAATTAATGTCTCAGAATTTGTATTCATTACGAAGCTTCAAACTTTTGATTTTCAAGTTTGAACTTTCGACTTTTTTTTAGTTTTTTTTTGTGTTTCTTCAACACTAACAAATTAAGATTTCGTTCTACAATTTCGAAATTTCGACTTCGTTAAATTGAAACTAAATTTTTTTCATTTCTTTTATTCAAAATTTTGATTTAGTTTGACGCAATTTCTTGATATTATTTAGAAATTTTCATTTATTACCTCGAAATTTCAATATAATAAATAATCCCAAGTTTTAAATTACTTGTGTTAAAATTTGAAATAATTTTTAAACTAATTAGGTAAAAATTGTGATTTACTTTTTCGAAATTCCGTCTTGAAGTCTCGAATTTTCAAGTCGTACAACAATAAAGTTTCTATGTGATTATGTTATAACTATATATCTACTCAGCATTTTTTTAAATTCGAGTTTCATCAGATGGAAAATTTGTATTTGGATATTTCGTTTTGTTGTTTTGAAGTTTTAGTTGATTTTTAAAATTTTGACTCGCTTAAATTTCGATTTAATTATTTAAAAATTTTGACAATGGCTGTTCAAAAGTTTCGATTTCGTTAACTCGAAATAGGTAGATAATTAATGTCTCAGAATTTTTATTCATTACGAAGCTTCAAACTTTTGATTTTCAAGTTTGAACTTTCGACTTTTTTTTTAGTTTTTTTTTGTGTTTCTTCAACACTAACAAATTAAGATTTCGTTCTACAATTTCGAAATTTCGACTTCGTTAAATTGAAACTAAATTTTTTCATTTCTTTTATTCGAAATTTTGATTTAGTTTGACGCAATTTCGTGGTAGTACTTAGAAATTTTCATATATTACCTCGAATTTTCTATATCATAAATAATCCCAAGTTTTAAATTACTTGTGTTGAAATTTGAAATAATTTTTAAATTAATTAGGTAAAAATTGTGATTTACTTTTTCGAAATTCCGTCTTGAAGTCTCGAATTTTCAAGTCGTACAACAATAAAGTTTCTATGTGATTATGTTAGAACTATATATCTACTCAGCATTTTTTTAAATTCGAGTTTCATCAGATGGAAAATTTGTTTGTGGATATTTCGTTTTGTTGTTTTGAAGTTTTAGTTGATTTTAAAAATTTTGACTCGCTTAATTTCGATTTAATTGTTTAAAAATTTTGACAATGGCTGTTCAAAAGTTTCGATTTCGTTAACTCGAAATAGGTAGATAATTAAAGTCTCAGAATTTTTATTCATTACGAAGCTTCAAACTTTTGATAACAACTTTGAACTTTCGACTTTTTTTTTAGTTTTTTTTTTGTGTTTCTTCAACACTAACAAATTAAGATTTCGTTCTACAATTTCGAAATTTCGACTTCGTTAAATTGAAACTAAATTTTTTCATTTCTTTTATTCAAAATTTTGATTTAGTTTGACGCAATTTCTTGGTACTACTTAGAAATTTTCATTTATTACCTCGAAATTTCTATATAATAATTAATCCCAAGTTTCCAATTACTATGTTGAAATTTGAAATAATTTTTAAATTATTTAGGTAAAAATTTTGATTTGCTTTTTCGAAATTATGTCTTGAAGTCTCGAATTTTCAAGTCGTACAACAATAAAGTTTCTATGTGATTATGTTATAACTATATATCTACTCAGCATTTTTTTAAATTCGAGTTTCATCAGATGGAAAATTTGTTTTTGGATATTTCGTTTTGTTGTTTTGAAGTTTTAGTTGATTTTTAAAATTTTGACTCGCTTAAATTTCGATTTAATTATTTAAAAATTTTGACGACGGCTATTTAAAAGTTTTGATTTCATTAACCCAAAATAGGTAGATAATTATTATCTCAGAATTTTTATTTATTACGAAGCTTCAAACTTTTGATTTTCAAGTTTGAACTTTCGACTTTTTTTTAGTTTTTTTTTTGTGTTTCTTCAACACTAACAAATTAAGATTTCGTTCTACAATTTCGAAATTTCGACTTCGTTAAATTGAAACTAAATTTTTTCATTCCTTTTATTCAAAATTTTGATTTAGTTTGACGCAATTTCTTGGTTTTATTTAGAAATTTTCATTTATTACTTCGAAATTTCAATATAATAATTAATCCCAAGTTTCAAATTACTTTTGTTGAAATTTGAAATAATTTTTAAATTAATTAGGTAAAAATTTTGATTTACTTTTTCGAAATTCCGTCTTGATGTCTCGAATTTTCAAGTCGTACAACAATAAAGTTTCTATGTGATTATGTTATAACTATATATTTACTCAGCATTTTTTTAAATTCGAGTTTCATCAGATGGAAAATTTGTTTTTGGATATTTCGTTTTGTTGTTTTGAAGTTTTAGTTGATTTTAAAAATTTTGACTCGCTTAATTTCGATTTAATTGTTTAAAAATTTTGACAATGGCTGTTCAAAAGTTTCGATTTCGTTAACTCGAAATAGGTAGATAATTAAAGTCTCAGAATTTTTATTCATTACGAAGCTTCAAACTTTTGATTACAACTTTGAACTTTCGACTTTTTTTTAGTTTTTTTTTGTGTTTCTTCAACACTAACAAATTAAGATTTCGTTCTACAATTTCGAAATTTCGACTTCGTTAAATTGAAACTAATTTTTTTCATTTCTTTTATTCAAAATTTTGATTTAGTTTGACGCAATTTCTTGGTACTACTTAGAAATTTTCATTTATTACCTCGAAATTTCAATATAATAAATAATCCCAAGTTTTAAATTACTTGTGTTGAAATTTGAAATAATTTTTAAATTAATTAGGTAAAAATTTTGGTTCATTTTTTCAAAATTCCGTCTTACTTTCTCGAAATTTTGACCTAATGTGTCTTGAAGTTTTGAGTTGACATTTGTTGTTCTAAAATTTTGGTTCTGATAACTTTTGCTTTAATTTTTCTTTACTATTGTGTTCTTTCAAGACTTTAGTAAATTGACATTTTGAATTTTTTTTCCAAATTTTTGACTTTTTTTTTTGGACTTTTATGACTAAATCTTTCGATCCTTACCGCTTCATGGTCACTAGCGTCTCTCGTCAACGCCTCCCTCGTATGATTCGCATCCGGATCCACCAAGGCGGCACTCTGCGGCACCCCCAGCGACTCATTCTTCGCCTGCTCCACACTAGTACTAGTACTAACACTATACGACACCTCCGTGGTCTCATCGCAGCTGCAACACTACAAAACTCCCCCATTAACCCCAATCAAGCCTGCCAACCAACTCACCGTCAACACCCCCAGACAGATCCCCAGCACGAAGACGGGCCGCCACCTGGACCAAACAAAAGTGAAATTAGGTGAAATCGAACAACTGTAACCCGCAAGGGTCTCGCTAGCCTAACAGTACATAATTCAATTTTCGGTATCCTGGGCACGCTAAACGACCAATTATCTTTTTGCTGGTGTTAATGCAGGCTCGGTCCTAGCTGGATGTGTGACAGTCAAGCGAGAAGCCGTAACGGCTCTCAGTTCCGTGCGGTGGCTTCACACCGCGTAGTATACGCGGTTTTCGCAAAAAAATTGCAGCACTGGGATAACATTAAATGGCCACGCCGTAGTGACCTTGAAACTACCGTTTTAATGTCTGTTTTGTGGCGTTTTTTGCGCGGTAATTATTAGGCCGCTTCCTAGGTTTATTACTATTATTATTGTCATATTGTCTGACATTTATATATATTTATATAAATTACATGGTTTACCAGATCACTTTTTTTTTTTTTCATTTAATCAGAAGTTGCTCCAGATATGTCGTTTTTTTTACAACAATAATTAAAACCGCAGCCACTTCTCGAACGACGCCAGATGTTGCCAACACAAAGATCAAGATCAAACCGTCCTCGACCGGAAGCTCGCATTGATTTTGATCTGGCGTATCTGGGAAAAATCGTCGCTTTCAACGCAAGCCCCAGCAATTTGCTCCGATAAAGCTTTCGTTTAGCGTTTAATTAATTTATTTATTCCCATTTACGACACGAATTAGCCGTCAGTCAGAGCACGTCGACTCTCGCTTCCAGCATTTTGTAATTTAGTTTCTTTAAATAAGTCCTTGGCGGGTCGATTGCGCGAAATAGTACACAACGCTCTATTTCAAGGTCGGTTTTAATTAATTTTTGTGGATGGCTTCGTGGAATCGCGGTATCGATTTGGGAAAAAAACGCCGTATGAATGAGGTTGCGGGAAGCGTTTAGTAAAAAATGCGCGACAAAAAAAAGTGGTTGGTAATGAAATCGATTTGCCTCCTGTGAGGATTGAACTCACGACCCCTGGTTTACAAGACCAGTGCTCTGCCACTGAGCTAAAGAGGCTACGATTGTTTGGGCGGCGTGAAATGGGTGATATGGTGCAAGTAGTATACCGTGCGATTTGGAGTCGATTGGGGGGATAAATGGCACTTAGACTCACGTGAAATCGTGGCAGAGGGAGTTTTCGCGTTTGGGTTGGTAGAAATGTAGTGGAATGTAATGAAATGTAGTCAAAGTACAATTATTATATACAATTATTATTTCATAGAAATCGTAGAACGTAAATTTGATAATATTTTTTTTAAACTGTTCTGTGCAGTGGCGGAGAGGTTCGAAAGTACTTTTATAGTTAGAGTACTTGTGGATAGAGGGCGCTAAAGGGTTGTACTCCCGCGTACCTCACGCTCCTTCGCTAATAACTAGCTTGTGAACTGTGGAGTCATCAAGATCATACTTCACAGGATCATTTCTGTAGTATATCTTCACATACTCCACATTCACATGTGGAGTTGACGCAACCACGATGACGAGTGACAGTTTCGTGTCCTGAGCGTGAGGCAGATCCGTATTCAGTTTCTGAGACTGGATTCAGATCATCGATGATCGTTCAGCACAGGCTTTGCTTGTGTGACGGACATGGAACAGTCTGAGTGGTCTTTTTTTTAATTTCAAACACAAGAATTTCGAGAAGTGATTATATACTCTGATCTCTGATGAACTACTTCTGAATTGAATTGTTCTGTAGTTTTCCTGATTTTTAGATCAGTTTTTCGAAAAATTTGTAAGAATTTTATATATTTTTGAACTTATTAAATTTTTAAAAATTCAGATTCTCTTCAGAAAAGACCAGAAAAATCAAGAAATTTAGAAAATTCTAACATTTCGTTATCTGTGAAGTAAAAGCACTTTCATTTTTTTTTCAATGTACGAAAAAAAAAATTATGCATATTTTAAAAATCCGGGTTTTTTTATTTATTACCAAATCAAAATTTTTAAGTTTTTTTTCCAAATTTGTACAGACATAACAAAATATCACTTTAAAACGCAACACAATAAAGAGTAATAGAAAAATAATTTTTAGAACCATAATTAATCAGTTAAAAATAGTAAAATAATTTAAAAAATATATACAAGAGACTCATAGTTACGACATAATTCATGTAATCAAAATTGATTTTTTTTCGAAAACGTTTAGAGACCAATATTCTTTTTTAAAATATACAACAGGGTGTCACTAAACCCGCGTTCCTAGATATCTCATTATTTATTAGCAATAGAAAAAAAAATTTTGAAGATTTGCTCAGTTTTTTTGCTTTTTGTGTAACACGATTAGTTAAGAACATAAGGTAATTTCTCGTAGAAAAATAAGGATTTTACAATTAAGCTCCGCCCCTCGGCTTAAAACGAATAAAAAAATCATCAGAATTGAGATTGGGCGGGTGGGCGGGGCTTATATTTTGTCTTTTTTCTTTTCAACACTTCTTTTCACAACAAGAAACTTAGAACATGGTAAAGATGGTACATTTTTGCAAAGAAATATGGATTTTGCAATTATGGGACGGAGCCTTTGCAAAATCGATATTTCCTTAAACAAATTTTCAATTTTAAACAAGTTTTAAGTTTCATGTTGTGAAAAGAAGTCTACACATATTAAAACAGAAAGCCAAATGTAAGCCCGCCCACCCGCCCTGTCTCGATTGTGATGATTGTTTTTATTTGTGGTGAACCACGGGAGGCGGAGTTTGACTGCAAAATACTTATTTGTTTATAAGAAATTAAAAACATGTTTTTGAGTATTGTGTTGTACAAGGAATATTATGTATATTTAGAAAAAAACGAAAATATAAACCCCGCCCACCCACCCCATCTCAATTGTGATGATTTTTTTATTCTTAGAAACCTAAAACACGTTTAAATTGGTATCCTTTTGTAAGGAAATCTGGATTTTGCAATTAGGCCCCACCCCTAGGTCTGCCAACGAATGAAAACTTCATTACTTTTTAGATCAGGGCAGGAATGGGTAGGGCTTAATCTTGAGTTTTAATTTTTATCTTAATATATGTACATGGTGTTCTTTGAATAACACTGATACTCAAAAATATTTCTTACATGGTAATTTCTTGTAGAGAAAAAAATAAGAATTTTGCAGTTAAATTCCACTCTTTGACTCTCGAGGATTAAAAAAAAATCATCAAAATTGAGATAGGGTGGGTGGGCGGGGTATATATTTTGCCTTTCATCACATCTTTTCACAATAAGAAACTTAGAACATGGTTAAAATGGCCGACACATATTGACACAAAAAGGCAAAATGTAAGCCCGCCCACCCGCCCTATCTCAGTTCTGACGATTTTTTTTTATTCACCGTGAACCACGAGAGGCGGAGCTTAACTGCAAATTACTTATTTGTTTACAAGAAATTAAAAACATGTTTTTGAATATCGTGTTATCAAGAAATACTATGTATATTAAGAACAAAAACGCAAAATATATATCCCGCCCACCCACCCCATCTCAATTGTGATGATTTTTTTTATTCTTTTAGAAAAAAAAAAAGAATTTTGCATTTAAATTCCGCTCCTTTGGCTTTCGACGATTAAAAATAACGTCAGAATTGAGATAGGTTGGGTGGGCGGGGTTTATGTTTTGTCTTTTTTTTTCTTAATAAACATAGCATTCTTTTCACAATAAAAAACTGCCCGCCCACCCGCCCTATCTCAATTGTGATGATTTTTTTTATTCGCCGTAAACCAAGAGGGCGGAGCTTAACTGCAAAATACTTATTTGTTTACAAGAAATTAAAAACATGTTTTTGAGTATCGTGTTGTTCAAGAAATACTATGTATGCTAAGAAAAAAAGTCAAAATATTAACCCCGCCCACCCACCCCGTCTCAGTTGTGATGATTTTTTTATTCTTAGAAACTTGAAACACGTTTAAAGTGGTACATTTTTGTAACGAAATGTGGATTTTGCAATTAAGCTCCGCCCCTCGGTTAGACAACGAATGAAAAATTCATCACGATTGAGATCGAGTCGGACGGGTGGGGCTTCTTTTTTGGTTTTTATTTACATTCATACATTTAGTTTTCTTTCTATAACACGATTACTTAAGAACAAAGTAAGGATTTTTACAATTAAGCTCCACCTCTCGGCTTACGACAAATAAAAAAAAATCATCAGAATCGAGACAGGGCGGGTGGGCGGGGCTTATGTTTTGCCTTTTTTTCTTGATATATGTATAGCCATCTTTTCATAACAAGAAACTTAAAACATGATTAAAATGATTTGTGCAAGGAAATATGGGTTTTACAGTTATGGGGCGGAGCCTAATTGCAAAATCGATATTTCCTTATACAATTTTCCATTTTAAACAAGTTTTAAGTTTCATGTTGTGAAAAAGTCTACACATATTAAAACGAGAAGGAAAAATGTAAGCCCGCCCACCCGCCCTATCCCGATTGTGATGATTTTTTTTATTCACCGGGAACCACGGGGGGCGGAGCTTAACTGGAAAATACTTGTTTACAAGAAATTAAAAACATGATTTTGAGTATCGTGTTGTCAAGGAATACTATGTATATTAAGAACAAAAACGCAAAATATATAACCCGCCCACCCACCCCGTCTAAATTGTGATGATTTTTTTATTCTTGTATAGAAAAAATAAGAATTTTGCAATTAAATTCCGCTCCTAGGGCTCTCGACGATTAAAAAAAATCATCAGAATTAAGATAGGGTGGGTGGGCGGGGTTTATGTTTTGTCTTTTTTTTCTTAATAAACATAGCCATCCTTTCACAATAAAAAACTGCCTGCCCACCCGCCCTGTCTCAATTGTGATGATTTTTTTATTCGCCGTTAACCAAAGGGGCGGAACTTAACTGCAAAATACTTATTTGTTTACAAGAAATTAAAAACTTGTTTTTGAGTATCGTGTTGTGATTTTTTAATTCTTAGAAACTTGAAACGCGTTTAAAGGGGTACATTTTTGTAAGGAAATATGAATTTTGCAATTAGGCTCCGCCCCTCGGTCTGACAACGAATAAAAAAGTCATCACGATTGAAATCGAGACGTATGGGTGGGGCTTCTCTTTTGGTTTTCTTTTTAAATGAATACATTTAATTTTCTTTCTATAACACGATTACTTAAGAACAAAAAAAGGATTTTTACAATTAAGCTCCACCCCTCGGCTTACGACAAATAAAAAAAAATCATCAGAATCGAGAGAGGGCGGGTGGGCGGGGCTTATGTTTTGCCTTTTTTTCTTAATATTATAGTCATCTTTTCACAACAAGAAACTTAAAACATGGTTAAAATGATTTGGGCAAGGAAATATGGGTTTTACAATTATGGGGCGGAGCCTAATTGCAAAATCGATATTTCCTTATACAAATTTTCCATTTTAAACAAGTTTTAAGTTTCATGTTGTGCAAAAAAGTCTACACATATTAAAACAAACAAGAAATATGTAAGCCCGCCCACCCGCCGTATCCCGATTGTGATGATTTTTTTTATTCGCTGTGAACCACGGGGGCGGAGCTTAACTGCAAAATACTTATTTGTTTATAAGAAATTAAAAACATGTTTTTGAGTATCGTGTTGTTCAAGTAATACTATGTATATTAAGAAAAAAAAGCCAATATATAGACGCCGCCCACCTACCCCATCTCAATTGTGATGATTATTCTTAGAAACTTAAAACACGGTTAAAGTGGTACATTTTTGTAAGGAAATATGGATTTTAGATTTAGGCTCCGCCCCTGGGTCTGCCAACGAATGAAAACTTCATTACTATTTCGATCGGGGCAGGTAGTAGGGTGGGGCTTAATCTTTGGCTTTAATTTAATAAAAAAATCATCACAATTGAGACAGGGCGGGTGGGCGGGGCTTATAGTTTGCCTTTTTTCTTAATACACGTAGTCGCCTTTTTAGAACAAGAAACTTAAAACATGAAGAATAAACATAACATGGTTAATTTTTGTAGCCACGCCCCTCCATCTGACAACGAATGAAAAATTTATTACAATTGAGACTTGAGATCGAGGCAGGTGTAATCTTTAAGAATAAAAAAGTTACAGGAGTTGTATCAAATAAAAGAAACACCCTGTATATTTTTACACATCTTGATTAGTCTCTTTTCTTATTTACAACCAAAGTTTATTTTTGAAATTACGATGCGACGTTGTCACGTTATCCCAATTTTCTTTGAATTTTTTAACACTGGAGGGTTTTATAAAAAAGAACACTGTAGGGTTATTATAAAAATCTGTCTTACAACATTTTGTAGAGAGCTAAAAAAAAGTACGCGCTTTATTGTCGTATAAATGAGATTAAATTTTCTTGTACAGAGTGTTTATAAAAAATCCTACAATTTTCAAATACCGATGTTTCAGTTTTTCAAACAGGAAACCAAATATTTTATTACTGCATCTTGATAGTCGCTGCGATTTTTAATGAGGACAAAACATACAGTAAAGATACAGCAGTAAAATACAGGGTATTCCTTGAAAAAACTGAAACATCGATATTTGAAAACTGTGAAGTTTTAGAATTTTTTATAACCACTCTGTATATTAAAATTTGAATTAGTTGATACCGTAACAACTTTTATTTATCCTTGCACGAATTATTGTAAGCCATACTTTAAAAATAACC